ACCGGTGAATGCCTCACCAGCCGAACCATGGTTGGGTAAAAACCAGCTGTGGATCCCTCCACCTTATCGGCACGAAATACTTAAGCTGGCACATGACCATCCAATGTCAGCGCACCCAGGTGTCACTAAAACGACGGCGAAGATCAAAGAACTGTTCTTTTGGCCCAAAATGAGAAAAGATGTGTCGCGTTACTGCAGAAGTTGCACGAACTGTCAGTTGGCCGGAAAGCCAAACCAGACAATTCCTAAGGCCCCTTTGAGTCCGATTCCTGTATTAGAAGAACCTTTTTCTAAAATTGTCATGGACTGTGTAGGTCCCTTGCCTAAAACCAAGACGGGCAACGAGTACCTACTTACCTTTATGTGTTCAAGTACCCGTTTTCCCGAGGCGATTCCCTTACGGAACATTAAGGCAAAGACTGTAGTCAGAGCCATGACCCGGTTCTTCACTACCTTTGGATTACCTAGAATCGTGCAAACAGATCAAGGCAGCAACTTCACCAGTCACCATTTTCAGGAAGCGCTAGCCAAGCTAGGCGTTACCCACATCACCAGCTCAGCCTACCACCCTCAGTCTCAAGGCGTACTTGAGAGGTTCCACCAAACCCTCAAAACCATGCTAAGGACATTCGCTAATAGTAACACCCAATGGGATGAGTCTGTTCCTTGGATTATTTTCGCCGCGAGGGACTGTGTCCAGGACTCTTTAGGCTACTCGCCTTTTCAACTTGTGTTTGGACATTCCGTCCGTGGCCCCCTGAAGCTGATACACGAACGTTGGACAGGTACCAGTGATCATCCAGTGGAAAACTTCGACGATTTTCACGTTCGACTGAAAGCCGTGTGCGAAATGGCTCACAAGAACTTAAGAAAGGCCCAAGTTAGAATGAAAGAACAGTATGATAAGAGTTCTTGTAAACGAACATTCAATCCAGGCGACAAAGTTCTTGTGCTAGTACCTAATCTGAACAATGCGTTATCCTTGAGATATTGTGGACCCTTTTCTGTGCATTCAAAATTAAGTGATTTGAACTATGTTGTCAATACGCCCGACAGAAGAAAGAAACAGACAGTGTATCATGTTAACTCACTGAAAAAATATTATGATAATTGTAACAATTTTCAATCCACAGCTAAAACTACTTTACCTGTATGTTCAAATGTTTCTGATGATGTGATACATGATAAATTGAAACTCCCAAAATTGGTAAATTCTTCCTTTTTAGATAATTTGAATGTCCACCTTATGCATTTGTCCACAGAGGAAAGCCATAGGTTGTCTCAGTTATTTGAGACATTTCCCTCTATTTTTGGGGATGTCCCCAAAGAAGCGAAGGTTCCACCTCATGATGTAGACGTTGGTGACGCAAAACCCATTAAACAACACCCCTATAGAGTTAACCCGGAAAAAGCTGCTTTGATAAAAGATGAAATTGATTATATGCTCAAGAATGATATCATTGAGCCCAGTTTCAGCAACTGGAGTTCCCCATGTCTCCTAGTCCCGAAAGACGGTGGATCTTTCAGGTTTGTGACCGACTTTAGGAAGGTGAATGCGCTCACCAAAGCTGATTCCTATCCCTTACCTCGGATAGAAGACGTTATTGATAAAGTGGGTCAAGCTAAGATAATTTCCAAAATTGATTTACTTTCAGGATACTGGCAAATCCCCTTATCTGACCGTGCAAAAGAAATATCTGCTTTTGTAACCCCTAATGGTTTTTATAGATACAAACGCATGCCCTTTGGTATGCGAAATGCTGGTCAAACTTTCCAGAGGGTCATTAACTCTGTCATTGCTGACATAGACCAATGTGAGGCCTACATAGATGATATAGTTGTATTTTCTAATACTTTTGAAGAACATATTGTTCAATTGACTAACCTTTTTAGAAAATTGTCTGAAGTTAATTTTACTGTAAACTTACATAAAAGTGATTTCTGTAAAGCTTCAATTACCTATTTGGGTTATCAAGTGGGAACGAACCAAGTTCGGCCCATTGAAGCTAAAGTAGATGCTATTGTAAGGTTACCACCTCCCAAAAATTGTAAAGATATCAAAAAGTTCCTTGGGATGGCTGGTTACTATAGGCGGTTCTGTCAAAACTTTTCAGCTATTGCTGAACCTCTTACTGCATTATTGAAAAAGGGTGTTGAATTTGAATGGTCCAATAAATGTCAAGAAGCTTTTTTAACCATTAAGTCATTTTTATCAAATGCTCCTGTTATGGCTGCACCAAATTTTAGCAAGCCCTTTAAACTTGCCATTGATGCTAGCAACTTAGCCATTGGCTCAGTCCTATTTCAAGAAGACAACATGGGAATTGACCATCCCATTGCCTTTTTTTCCAGGAAGTTAAATGAGAACCAAAAGAATTATTCTACTATTGAAAAAGAAGCTTTAGCTTTGGTTTTATCATTACAACATTTTGAAGTCTATGTCTCTTCTTCAACCAATCCAGTCAGAGTGTTTTCTGACCATGATCCCCTGAAATTTACCTCTAAGTTAGGACAGACAAATCAAAGAATATTGAGATGGTGCTTATATTTCCAAAATTTTAATCTGGAAATTTCACACATTAAGGGTAGTGATAATGTTGTGGCTGATTGTTTGTCAAGGATGTAAAATCTTGTTACACACATTGATCATGTGACATGCTTTGTGGTTCATTAGGACCATAAACAGGTTTTGTTTGAGTGTCACTCATATGAAAATGAGTGGTGTGAGTTTTGATTTTTTTTCAAAATTCCAATCCTGTTGAATATTTTGTTTATTTTCAGGTGAACCTTAATTAAAGGTAGTTTTGATTATATGTAATCTTTTATAATAATATGTCTCATATGACTCAATTGATATTGTAGCTAGTCATTGAAATAAAGGTCTTACCCTGGCGGGTTTACCACTTTTAATATTCTCATGGAAAAATTGTAATACCCTTTCTTGAGGAATTTTGATGTATAATTACTTTTTGAAGGGTTACTCCCCTTTCACCAATTGTAAAAGTTGGAGTTACGTCCCTTTTATGTTCAGGGATATTTTCATCTGGTATTATGATTTTGATTGCCTACATTTGTAAAACATTTTTTATTTTCATTGCCAGATTGGTCCCTTATGTATGTTCTTGTGGAACCTATCTGTCACTTCCAAAAAGGGAGGGGATGTGACCTACTTAGGTCGAGTCATTTTTATTTTGACATTGTATAATTCCTTATATGGAATGATGGTGTAACACCTGGGGTTTTTCCATTGACTATTAAGGTGTTTGAGACATAGAAAATTTCCATTAAAATCTGATTGAATGATTCTGATCAGATGATTATCCCAACCAATGGCGACATGAGTTGAGGATAACCTCCCCTGTCACAGAAGTCTTTAATTGCCCCGCACACTCGCAACACGAGGCAGTTTATCTTGACCTGGCAGTCTACGAGGCAGTTTTACCTTAGTCAGGCAGCCGTCCATATTGTCCGGCTATAGACTCTGACCATTTGAACGTGAGAGTACTTAAGACCTGTGTGTGCCTTGCTTTCTTAAAGTGATTTAGTCTTCTAGTTTAATATTACTTGTCGCTCAGTAATTCTAGAAACTACAGCAGTGTTGTGTGGCCGGTAGCTGTTCTTTAGACAGTGTAGAAATCTGTGATAGTGTTTTTTCCTACATTGTGTAAGTTGGGTTTTTGATATTTTATACATTAAATATTTTATTTAGTTCAACCTTGTGTTCTGCCACTTCTGAGTTCGCTGATTAAAAGGTCGTATGTAGATTGGATGAGTGTTAATTACAATAGTATCTCTAGCTTCCCTAGACATTAAATTCGAGCCCTAGTGGTCGTTGTGTTAAGTGTTCATCCACTTAGGCCGTAAGGCATTTGCATATGACCCCGAAAAAAGAATCCGGGGACGTTCTCCTTCTATTTGGCTGATAGAAAGGTTAACGTTACAACCTATTTCTACAAAACTATATTTAGTACAAAGGGTGTAAATAAGACAAAAATTTAAATCCAAGTGGTCAACTAACACAGGTCAATAAAAACAACCAACAACTGGTCAAGTGGGCAACAACCGATAAACTGATCATCTGGTCAACAACTGGTCAGTTGGTCAACTGGTCAACAAATGTCTAACATTATTATTTAACCATTAATAAAACAATAGCTCAAGGGATCAATTGGTCAACAACTGGATAACAAATGGAAAAAAAACAATACCCTCCTCCTCCTCCATGATAACCGTTAATAAAACAATGTAAAACAACATCTGAGCAACAACTGGTCAGTTGGTCAACTGGTCAATATATCGATCAATTGATCAAAACAATAACCTCCTCCTCCTCTATGATAATCGTTAATAAGACAATGTAAAACAACATCTGGTCAACAAGTGGTCAAGTGGTCAACATACCGATCAAAACAATAACCTACTAGTCAAAATAATCAACAGTTGGTTAATGAACAATCAACAACGGGCTAAAAATCAATAGTTGGTCAAAAAACAGGGACAAAAATCAACAGGTGGTCAAGAATCAATCAATAACGGGTTAAATAATCAACAGGTGGTCAAAAAAATCCATCAATAACGGTCAAAATATGCAACAGGTGGGCAAAAAATCAATCAATAACGGTCAAAATAATCAAACAAGTGTCCCTCCTCCGCCTCCCCCTCCTCCTCCTCCTCCCCCTCGCCTCCTCCTCCTCCTCCCCCTCGCCTCCTCCTCCTCTTTCGACCCAAAGGGGACCTACTATACTACTAGCGGGGGCTGAGGGAGGGGGGTTGAGGGTGGGGGTTTATATTGGGGTCTAAGGGTGGGGGGGGGTGAGAATGGGGGCTGAGGTTAGGGGTTAGAATGGGGGTTGTGGGTGGGGGAGGGGGAAAGGTTGTCATGAGCTTCTAAAAGTATTTTGAAAATATTTTTAGCATAAATTTTATTTATTTACTTGCTGACTTAAATAATCCTTGTTGACTGATGATCAAACCCTAATCATGTCATCGATTTGTTTCAGCTGTTTGTATTTTGATCGCCACCATCGTCTGGGGTACACTGATTGATTTTGTCATCATCGATCCTAACCACAGCTCCCAGCTCGGCTCCTCCTTCTACCTCAGTGTGGTCAGTGCCGGCTTCGTCCTTGTGGGCGGGGTCGCCGGCCTGTGCAGCATGTTGTTTCGGCGCTGCTGGTATAGGGGGAGCTACCAGCTGATCCCAGATTAGGGTTAGCTGAGGTGGTGTTGGTACAAGAGAAGTGGGGGAGGGGGCTACCATCTCATGTGGTACGGGGGAGGGGAGCTACCAGCTGATCCCAGATGACGGTTAGCTGAGGTGGTGCTGGTACAAGGGTGGGGGGGGGGCGGGGGGGGGGGGGGTTGGGTCCACCATCTTATGCTGGTACGGGGGGGGGGGAGCTACCAGCTGATCCCAGATGAGGGTCAGCTGTGGTGGTGCTGGTACAAAGGGGGGGGGGCTACCTTCTTATGCAGGTTCGGGGGGGGGGGGGGGGCTACCATCTTATGCTCATACGGGGAGGGGGAACTAACAGCTTATGCTGGCGGGGGGGGGGTACTGCTTCACGGCGACTACTCCTGCATTCAATTATATTCTTAAATACCTCTGCTACTTCTTTTTTGTGAGGAGGGGGTGTGTTTTTATTACATCCTTTGCTCAATGTTAAGGCATTAAGGGAGTTGAAATATGACAAATCCTGAATATTTTAAGATTTTTTATTCAATAGCATTTGAGCACGGTGGAGCGGCAAGGTCGTGGGGGTAGAGTGCACGATTACTTAGCCGAAAGTCTCGGGTTCAGTTCACTTGCTTGAGAAGTAAGACGTTACTAATGCCGCCCAGCTATGATGGGTTGTCTAACTTGTTTAAAGTAATGGCAGTTGGGCGTACCGATATAGTACGGGACACACTATACATTTAGATAACGCGGTAAGAGAAACAGATGAACTCTACTCCATCTGCACGTGGATCATCCGCCAATGGCTGTCAGAATTCCGCCGATGATGTTAAGAGGTTATGTTACATCTAAATACAGCTTTTATTCTGAAAAGTATTTTTATCACTTTTTTTAGATTAGATTTATTTATTTTTTGTTTTAAATACTTTAGGATATTTAACAATATTTTAAATACACACACACACACACACACTTACACATACAAGATAGTCGCCCAATACAGCTAGTTCGTGTGCCTTTTGTGATCAGGACAAATGATGCAAACAGCTAGCTATGAAACAACAGTATATAAATATGTAGGAAATAATCGATCATATCCAATCAACTATGGGTTATAACACAAGTTAGTTTGTCCTGTTAATATAATTTACATGATTCTTGTGTTCCATAACATATGTTTTGTAAACATACTTTGATATAAATTGTCAATTTATCCGGAGAAAAAAAAAACACAGACAGCCTCTCTACTTTTGTTAGGGTTATATAAAAAGTTGTATTAGTTTTCATCACTTAGCTTTAATGTTATTTATAGTCTTGACCTGATCCTAAACTTGACCTTTGATCCAATATCGAGTCCAGAAGCCATAATCAAACTTTAATTAACTCACATTACAAATGGACTGTACGATGTTTGGACTACTCTACCCTTTATCAATAAATATAAGTTTATACACTCTAGTTACGTAGCTTGACATCTTACAGTGTTACGTGCTTGAGTGATTGTGTGATACTGTAGACCTGTGTGATTGTATGTTAACATATATGATTGACTATGTCCTTGTATGATTGTATTAGTCTTTATGATTGTGTATGTGTCTGTATTACTAAAAGTCCCTGTTCTGTATGCCTGTGTGAATATGTATATGCCATTGTAATCTAACGTCTTTAAAATTACCGTCTTTTCTGCAGTATTACGATTTCTATGCAGTTTTGTTGAAAATTTTAGTAATTTATAATTGGGTAAAACAATAAAATATTTCATGATGAATAATTAGGCTGAAGAATAAAATATTTCCTCTTAACACACCAAGTCTTCATATTCATTATATACTGAGTTCAAAACACTTAGTTTATACAGAACAACAATATTAACTTTTTGTTTGCTATATAGAAGGTAAACACTTCTAACCCTTAGCCAGGGATAATAATATATATTTAACTGTCTGCAATAGAGCAGGGCAACAGCTCTAAGTGTCAGGTAGATGTCAGAGTAGCATGTCACCACTGACATAATGACAATGACATATGGCCCTGTGGCCCCCACACTGTTGCTTACTGTTTAGACTCAACTGTTTATTTTATTCTACATGTCGTTTTTGTAAGGGAATTTACCTAATGGGGAATTCCCGGTAAAATTTCATGTTGCTATTTATATCACGGTGTTTCAAGAATTGAGACCACAAGAATTTGGAGTCGGTCAAGGTTATTTATACGAAGTGTTGTTGTATCAAAGTGAATGACAAATACAACGGTAAAAGTAAACGATATATGAATAGGAAATTAATATTATATCATTGTAAAGCCGGGTTATGTTTTAGTGAATGCGCATGTGGAGTTTACAGTTGTATTAAGTCCATGTTAGGATTAAGATTTTATGGACTATTTATTTCTTTGTTTACTTATTATAATTTTAAAAACACATTTAAAAAAAAATGTGTTCAGAATTGGCCTTTGAGTAAGAGACATGGTATTCATCTTGACGGTGTGTCTGTGTGTACGTGTGTGTGTGTGGGGGAGGGGTGGACTTACTATTCAATTTCTCTTCTCAAAATATCTATTTCCTGTTTGTGTGTCAAACCATCTAACGGATGGGTTTGTCCAAGTATTGCACCACTTTACCACCCGAAATGACAACCCACCCCCTATCCCATCATGCTTTATAATATGTGCACCAACCATATATATACCCCCCCCCAGACACACACACACAACACACACACTCAAATCTATTTCGTGTTTTCGTTTTAAACGGTTCAATGCACACCATCCTAGCCCCGTTTCACCCCCCTCCCCCCTCGTCCTTTCATATTAATGCTACACATCTATGCAACGACTGAATGAACAGTGTACTGATTTATCTGTAAAGCCTAGTGTTCTTTGCAGGAAGGAAAAAAAGAAAAGGCTATTTCTACGTAGATGTGTCGTGTGTTTTTTGACGCTAGGTTAGGTGGACGTGTTTTAATAGCTAAATGCTGATGTGTTAACTTTACACTAAAGCTTTGACTCTGTTTAGAAAAAATCCGGTGTGGTGTGTTAATGGCCGATTCAACTGTTTCACGTGTAATATGTGATGTTTGATGTAACAGTGTCATGTGTTCATGGAGAAGTTTATGTTCACGTGAACTACAGCTGATAAAACACATGAACTATTGCTGAGACGACACATGAACTATAGGTCAGACAACACATGAACTATATCTGAGACAACACTTGAATGATAGCAAACACAACAGATGAATTATAGCTGAGACGACACGTGAATTATAGCGGAGACAACATATGAATTATAGCTGAGACAACATGTGAACTATAGCTGAGTCAACACATGAACTATATCTGAGACAACACATGAACTATAGCTGAGGCAACACATGAACTATAGCTGAGGCAACACATGAACTATAGCTGAGACGACACATGAACTAGAGCTGAGACAATACATGAATGATATCAAACACAACAGATGAACTATAGCTGAGACAACACATGACAACAATCGTGAGTGATAGTTGAGACAATTGGCCTAAGGATGCCATACATCACAAGGTACCACGTGATCAGCCAGACAGGTCACGTGCTCACACTAGCAGGATTTCTGCTGCACATCATAGGCGTGTCTACCGTCTACTGGGCAGAGGATAATGGGGGGAACATGTACGGGATCTTTGAGATGTGTTATCAAGATCTAGGTCAATGTTATCCTATACGGGTTGAGGATCCTACATTGAGTAAGTTGAACATAAATATATGTATATATATATATATATATATATATATATATATATATATATATATATATATATATATATATATATATATTTATTTATTTATTTACTTATTTATTGTATAGGCCCCCTATACATTAATACATTCATACAAACACCAGTATGTTATTATTTGTGTGTGTGTGTATGTGTGTGTGTATAATCACACACATGTACACCATCTGCACATGCATGTTTTCCTCAGTTCTGTGTCAAGCCTTTGCTGTGATAGCCATCGTGTTGTGTGCCCTCTCCTTCGTCGCCATCTTGGTGTACTGGTGCCACATGATGCTGGCCGAGCAACGTTTAAAATTCTATCTCATATTTTCTGTCGTGCTTGGCATCCTGGCAGGTGAGTTGTGTTAAGTAAAGTAAAAGTTCCCCTTCCAAACCTGAAGTAGAGTTCACCTGTTCCTGTGACCTCGGCATATGAAGAGATAGTGTGGTCAACACTATGCCCACCCGCCTTTACTTTCCCTATAGTGTGTTAGGTACCCATCAGAGTTGGGTGGACTCAGGAACGGTGTACTGACTTGAACCCGGATTCGAACTCCAGACTTACGAGATAGCAGTCTTGCTCTCTACCGCTAGACCACTCCGTTGTGTAAGGCTACTAATTGATGCTTATCACATGTGATCAAAATCAGAAATAAAGTATATTTTATCGAAATCTCAACAGATGTCTTAGTACTTTTAAAAATAAGTATATTATGTAACTCACGTTTGATTATTGTTTCCTGTATAAAAAAAATGTGTGACCAAATGTATTGATTTTTTGAAAGAAATAACTTTAACAACATTAAAATAATATTCCCAATTGGAACCTGACGGTCCATGGGGCAAGTGAGGTGGAGTTTACCTGATTCTGTGACCTCTGCTTATAAAGGGATAGTGAGGTCAGCAATATGCCCAGAATTGTATCGAAGCAAATAACAATAAATGCTGATATGTGCAGATAAATAAATTAGTAGCTTTGTTTAAAAAATAAACCGGGAGTGATCTCCCCTAAACTTTCTCGAATATTCATATATAAAATAACAGGGGATGGGAACTCGGGCTTTAGACATGATTTTTAATCCATTTTAAATACTTAGTTTTAAAAATAGAATAAAATCTCGTAGACAAATTAATTGCACACCAAGTGAACGCCAAATAAAAAAGCGCATAATAGTGCGCAATATTATTAGTACTTTTAAAATTTACATTAGTTTTTTGAGAAATCGGAAGTAGCGTAAATTTCTACTTCCGGTCAACGGAAATTACTCAAAATTTAACAGAAGGTAGAGAATTAGATCTTTTACTTACATGTTAAATTTCATTTATCTATCTGAAATAGTACTCAAGTTATAGGCTTTTGAAAAATTCAAAGTAGAAAAAGTACCACTTCCGGTTATCGGAAATCGCTCAAAAATTGATACGGATCTACGATTTTAATAAAATACTTATATATGAAATTTCATCAACCTAGCTGTAACGGTACTCAAGTTATCGTGTTTACACACGGACAGACAGACAGACAGACAGACACACAGACATACGGACAAGATTGCAAAATTATGTTTTTCCGTATCAGTGAGGTGTAAAACGTCGAGATTTGTTAAAATCTCGATTTTTTTTGCACGATTACAAGACTTTCTCTATACTTCGTATATACGAGAAAGTAAAAAAAAAAACAATTCGGTTATCGGTTTTTAATTGTTGAATTACAAATGTAAAGTTCCTTTGTCTTGCGGTGTTTACACCTACCTTTAACACCTGTTTCAGCGGCCAGTATTGGATTCTGTGACCTGATGTTCTACCGCTACATCCACGATATGAAGCTTGGCAAGTCATTTATAGAGAGCGGGGTAGGAGGGGTGGTCGTCCTCACAGGAAGTGTCGTCAGTGCTGGATTTCTTGCCTGCAGACCACGTGACCAGTACCAGCCAATAAACTGATAGAGTCTGTAATTAATTAACATTGAGTTATTAGTGCTGTAAATAGTTGATATTGAAAGTTTGTTAAATGTTACTTTACAGAGAAAAAGCATGTATGTTTCATACTACATCTGTAATACTAAAGATGAGTTATTTTGAAAACAAATAAGGTTGCTACATTGTTGACCGTTAAAAATCGTGTTAGTGTTTTTGTTTCAATTTTACCTTCAAATTAGAAACCCATTTAAAACAGAAAAAAAAACAGAATTTTAATGTTTTAAAAATTAGCTTATCAAAATTGTGAAAGCAGAGACATAGAAAATATTCAAAATGCGTCCAATCTTTAGACGTCATACAAAAGCATACAATCCATCCTATGATCATGGCCTAGCTTGAAATATTGGGCCATCCTATCATCATGGCCTAACTTCAAGCCTGGGCACCCAATGATCATGGCCTTACTTGAAGTCGTTAGCCTAACGTGATGCCTATCATAATTTTTATATCTATTAATTCTTGAATCATCAATAGAAGTTAGCGATTATGCTTCTGTGAAAATAAATCCATTTATTCAAAAATTGTGTTACATGTAGGTTATTTAACAGTTTTTAACTACAGTGTCGTTTATTTTATTAGCTATAATACAAACATTCAACAAATTACATGTAAGTTATTTAACAGTTTTTAACTACAGTGTCGTTTCTTTTATTAGCTATAATGTAAGCATCCAAAAATACCAATTAGAAACATACATGTGAATGTGGATATCTACTTAAAGCGAGATGTTTTGCTACGTTAAGTGCTAATGCACGAGCCACGTACAGAGTAGAATTAATTCTATTTGTCCGCCCGCAAGCGTCACTCAAGGCACTTGACTAAGTGGTAAAATTAAGTGTACTAATTTTTTTTGGAAAATGATTTTATTGGAAAATACCGTAAGAGACGCGGACTCACAAAAAAAAAACCCTCAATAGTAGGCTCTTAATAGCATGGGAGAATCTCCCTAACAACACACAATGTACTATTGACAACGTTCTAGAACCTCTCTAACACACAATGTACTATTGACAACGTTCTAGAACCTGTCTAACAACACACAATGTACTATTGACAACGTTCTTGAACCTGTCTAACAACACACAATGTACTATTGACAACGTTCTAGAACCTCTAACAACACACAATGTACTATTGACACCGTTCTTGAACCTCTCTAACAACACACAATGTACTATTGACAACGTTCTTGCACCTGTCTAACAACACACAATGTACTATTGACAACGTTCTAGAACCTCTAACAACACACAATGTACTATTGACAACGTTCTTGAACCTCTCTAACAACACACAATGTACTATTGACAACGTTCTTGCACCTGTCTAACAACACACAATGTACTATTGACAACGTTCTAGAACCTCTCTAACAACACACAATGTACTATTGACAACGTTCTAGAACCTCTCTAACACACAATGTACTATTGACAACGTTCTAGAACCTGTCTAACAACACACAATGTACTATTGACAACGTTCTAGAACCTGTCTAACAACACACAATGTACTATTGACAACGTTCTATAACCTCTCTAACAACACACAATGTACTATTGACAACGTTCTAGAACCTCTAACAACACAGAAGCTACTATTGACAACGTTCTAGAACCTCTAACAACACACAATGTACTATTGACAACGTTCTAGACCCTCTCTAACAACACACAATGTACTATTGACAACGTTCTAGAACCTCTAACAACACACAATGTACTATTGACAACGTTCTAGAACCTCTAACAACACAGAAGCTACTATTGACAACGTTCTAGAACCTCTAACAACACACAATGTACTATTGACAACGTTCTAGAACCTCTAACAACACACAATGTACTATTGACAACGTTCTAGAACCTCTCTAACAACACACAATGTACTATTGACAACGTTCTAGAACCTCTCTAACACACAATGTACTATTGACAACGTTCTAGAACCTCTAACAACACAGAAGCTACTATTGACAACGTTCTAGAATCTCTCTAACACACAATGTACTATTGACAACGTTCTAGAACCTCTAACAACACAGAAGCTACTATTGACAACGTTCTAGAACCTCTAACAACACACAATGTACTATTGACACCGTTCTTGAACCTCTCTAACAACACACAATGTACTATTGACAACGTTCTAGAACCTCTAACAACACACAATGTACTATTGACAACGTTCTAGACCCTCTCTAACAACACACAATGTACTATTGACAACGTTCTAGAACCTCTAACAACACACAATGTACTATTGACAACGTTCTAGAACCTCTAACAACACAGAAGCTACTATTGACAACGTTCTAGAACCTCTAACAACACACAATGTACTATTGACAACGTTCTAGAACCTCTAACAACACACAATGTACTATTGACAACGTTCTAGAACCTCTAACAACACAGAAGCTACTATTGACAACGTTCTAGAACCTCTAACAACACACAATGTACTATTGACAACGTTCTAGAACCTCTAACAACACACAATGTACTATTGACAACGTTCTAGAACCTCTCTAACAACACACAATGTACTATTGACAACGTTCTAGAACCTCTAACAACACACAATGTACTATTGACAACGTTCTAGAATCTATCGAACAACACAGAAGCTACTACTAACAACGTTCTAGAGTTTCTCTAGCATCATAGGAGAATCTAACCAGCACTACGCCGCTCCATTAAATCTGTAAAAAAAAGAGAGCCCTGAAACTTGTGGCGTACACAGGGATAGGGGCTGGAATGTTAATATATACATACACACTTGCATATATATATATATATATATATATATATATATATATATATATATATATATATATATATATATATATATATATATATGTAACGAGACTATTTGCCTGTAGTGCCAAATGTTAACGAGTTCTGCTCGACAACGCCAAATGTTACCGAGTCTAACCACTCATTCTACACAACATCGACCACAGTATAGATACTCGAAGATGCAGGTTCGCTATTGATCCTTTTATTACATGAATCAAAGAAATGCTTCACAATAATATAATAAATCAAAAGGAATGCTTCACAATAATAGTCTGAATCAACTGACCCCCAACAGTCCTCACTAGTCTTCACATAACTGAATGCACATGTCTATCGTCCTTCTTAACACAATACGGCTAACCCGTTCAATAACCAACTTGATACTGCCACACTGACTGACTGATCGAGAGAGAGAGCGAGAGAGAGAGCGAGCTCAGCCGTCGCCTTCCTATATATCCCCTTCGTATTCGTAATCGTATTCGGTTCTCTCATAATCGTAATCGTACTCGATTCTAATCGTTGCGTCAGAATGTTAATTACGCCGCTTCTGTCGTACAGTCCGATTTAATAAGCCATCTGCATCCTGTCACATCAAAGTTGACAGACCGTATTGCGTTCTTATCGTATCGCTTCCCAAGATACTACGCCTTGGCTTTCTGATCGTTATCAGCCAACACCTGTGTTATTGCATCAGTCGTGTCAAAGTTGACAGCGCTGTACTGCGTTCTTATGTCTCTGGTAACTTCCCCTAGTTACATATATATATATATATATATATATATATATATATATATATATATATATATATATATATATATATATATTCCATACACCCTTAGGATAGTAACATTAGTTTATATGATATTCACCAATTTAAAATGAAGAAAAGACAGGTGCGTTCCGGAGCACCGTGAAACTTTTCCATTTCAATGGTCCACTGGTGATTGGTTTAACCCCCCTTCCACACCTCACTGACACACCCCTGCGTAGAGTTCAACACTTGAGACTGATGTCAACTGTCGAAATGCAAACATTCCAGTTGATGAGTTTTGTCCAGTACAAGATCTAAAGGCGCCTAGTACCGACACTGCAAACAAGGAAGTTGAAATCCTTACATGCTGAATGCAATGTATCTATTTATGTTTAACTTGGTGGGAACGCATCACTTTGTTCCGCACGATTGGAGAGAGCTTTATGTTTCTAAATTGTTTAGAGTAGTATATGTTTTTACTTTCTCGTATTATAGGAGAAGTAGTGTATTCGTGTAAAAAATAAAGCTTAAGATATTTACAAATTTCGACATTGTACACCTTCCTTGATCGGAAAAACACCGTTTTACAATATTCTAGTCATCTATCTATTTATCTCTCTCTTTATGTGTGTGTTGTTGTGAATACGATACATTAAATACCGTTTCAAAAAGATGGATGAAATTCTACCGATATAAGATTCTGTACGTTAGTTTCTATAATTGTTTAGCTAGTTCTGGTAACGTGATATTTTTCAGGTATCTGTCAACTTTTGACAGACTTTCAGTGTATTATATTTTGTGTTTTTTTATTTTGACTGATTTCCGATATCCGGAAGTGATACTTTACCCTCCATCTTGTACTAATTATACACTCATTACACTTCCTAAAATGTTACTCGTCATTTAAATAGTGGTACAACATTATATATTTAAAGAAAGTCAGCGTTCTTTTTCTTTTTAGTGCTTATTTAAGAATTGCAATACTTTTAAGTCTCTTACCTTTCATTGACAGTTAGCTTGAACATCATACCTGCAGAGGTCGTAGAAAATTGACTTTAATATTTTGGTCAGGTCGTCAGGCCTACCTACGCACTGAATAATAACAAAATATAACTCTCTCACAGACGTATCAGACAGTGATGGAATCTGCCGTCAATACAAGATTAAGTTTCCAAGTTCCACTCTGTTTTCCTCTGAACAAAGGATGTGTTTACTTGGGGGTTTTCTTCTTCATGCTGGGACTTTTCACTTGTCATTGGGTGGAGACCTCAGGTGTTAGTTTAGGCGTGTGGAGCTACTGCGATAATTCTTTAGACGGTAAGTGTCTACAGAGCCTGATTCGTATCGGAAATCTCATGGATTCCGTGTTCTTCTTTGAAAAACTGATACACTTATATTTTAATTAATTTCATTTTTCGGATATGGGACGTCGAGGCCTAGCGGTAGAGTGCTAGACTGCTAATCCGAAAGTCTCGAGTTTGAATGCGGGTTCAAGTGAGTTCCGTCCCAGAGTCAACCCAGTGGAGATGGGTACCTAAACAACATTAGGGAAAGTAAAGGCGGCTGGACATGGAACTGACAGCATTATTCTTTCAAATGTCAGGTCTAGAAACATATGAACTACTTCATCGTTACAGTTGAGTTCAAAGCTTAAACAAGAATCTGTATTACTTACATAATGTGTTGGAAGACATTGCTGTTTTTTTTTTTTGTTTTTTTTTGTATTCGGGGTGTGTGTATCCCATGTAGTACATACCACTTTAACAATTTCTTGTCTTACTTTGACTTTTTAGGGTGTATGTATGCCATAAATTACAAGGCACTTTTACAATTTCTTGTCTTAATTTGACTTTTTGTGGTGTATGTATCCCCTGTAGTAGATACCACTTTAACAATTTCTTGTCTCACTTTGACTTTTTGTGGTGTATGTATCCCCTATAGTAGTTACCATTTTAACAGTTTCTTGTCATACTTTGACGACAGGGTTTGCTGTATTTTCGTGTCGCACTTTGGCGATGTTGGGCGTCAGCAATTGCCTGGCTTTCGCTCGACACACGATGACTAACATCACAGTGTACGGTAGGAAACATGCCTGGGTGTCGCCAGTGTTGGAAGTTCTATCAGGTGATGTGTATGTTCTATCACGTGATGTGTATGTTCTATCAGGTGATGTGTATGTTCTATCAGGTGATGTGTATGTTCTATCAGGTGATGTGTATGTTCTATCACGTGATGTGTATGTTCTATCAGGTGATGTGTATGTTCTATCAGGTGATGTGTATGTTCTATCAGGTGATGTGTATAGCCTGTCAGTTGATGTGTATGTTTTATCAGGTGATGTGTGTTCTATTAGGTAATGTGTATGTTTAATCAAATAATGTGTATGTTCTGTGAGCTGTTGTGTATGTTCTATCAGGTGATATATATATGTTATATCAGGTGATGTGTATGTTTTTTCAGGTGATGTGTATGTTCTATCAGGTGATGTGTATGTTCTATCACGTGATGTGTATGTTCTGTCAGGTGATGTGTATGTGTATTGAAATTGTGACCTAGAATTTAGTTTTCACATCGTGATGTTCTTGTGATACACTTTACGTGTTGGTAAAAAGATTGAAGGAATGGGGGCTCGAATTTTTTTTGTATATTTTTTTAATAAAAAATAGCAAATTAGTTTTATTTTCTTATTTTCAAAGTATTTAAATGCTTGTTGCTATGTTTTAAACTTATTTTATTTGATATTGAATTTACATACTTGTCAAATAGTCTTGCTCAGCCACATTAAAGCTAGTAATTCTGGTAACACATATTTCAAGCAAAAACAACTCTGGACTTAACCGACCCTGAATTAATAAATCTTATATTACCTTTAATATTATTTGTAATGCTAAACCCTTATATATGGTTTGTATTGTTGCCTTAGGGGGATCGTCCATAAATGACGTCACACTCGTAAGGGGGGTCCGTAATTTTGTAACGGTGTGTTACGAGGGGGGGGGTAAGGGGGGGGGGGAGTTAGATGGTGTGACGTCACACTTTTGCATTATAAAAAAGCAATGTTAGAAAACGAGTTTTAGCCGTTATTTCGCGTTTTAGAAAACTGTTTTAATAAATTGTAATAGGAATTGATCGAAATACTCTTTGTTGACAAAGTTCTGGCAAGATTTTGGAAAAATATCGATGTTTTAAGAAAAATCCATCTGAAATTTTGAGGGGGGGGGGGTTGTAGGATGAGGTGTGACGTCATTTTAGGGGGGGGGGGGAATCTGGCTTTTTGTGACGATGTGTGACGGGAGGAGGGGGGAGGTAAAAATCTTCAAAACAGCGTGACGTTATTTATGGATGACCCCTTAGTTTAAAAATGCAACCGAAGACTTGCCACTGTTTTATGTGAATTCCATGGTGTGGCACTAAAAATCATATCTCTTAAATGTTCCTATTTTTTTCCCAGCATGCTTTGCTGGAGCCTGCCTCGTCATCTTGGTCTGTTACGCCGCTAACGGAGCTGACAGTGGCGCCATCTACCACTACGGCTACTCATTTGGATTGGCTGTCTTGGGTTGTTGCTGTTTGCTGATTGGTGGAATTCTAGATGTAGTGTTTGCCTTAGTGTATCAAAAGCCTTAGATTACTCACGAACACAAGATGAAATTGATGAGAATCTATCCCCGCTAGCTAATCGTGTTTTATTACTCACTTTAAGGAGTCACATCGCTTGTTAGCCGCCACGTTTTGTAATTCAATATTAGTATTAATATTAGGAATTTATTTCAAACTTAACACATGCATGCATCTGATAATGTACTAAAATCCAAGTTTCTGCATATTAAGTTAACCGTTGAAAGTTAGTTGTGATGGGGGTTATATATAACTTCTACATCTATATTCTGATCTGGTCTACTACTATTTATACGGCATACTTGTGAGGAGGGCGGGAATCAGTCTTACGACCCGCAGACACTTATTAATAATGTCAACAACTCCGTTTATGAAAATAACACCAACTTTATTTACACACTTATAGATCATTTGCACAACATAATAAAATACGTCCGTCTTCTAGTTTATCTAACCCCCAACTAATTTCACTGCTGCGGTCTACGTCATCGGTACATTATCGCGTCATGCTCACGTCACACTCACGCCACAAATATTTTATTGAACACGCGCACAACACTCTCGCACCAAATTGTCTACCGTCAAGTTCGCATCGTCCTTCGTAACCTCTACCAGTCCAGTCCAATTCTATATACGAAGTGACTACTCGGAAGAAGATTTTTCTCCCCAACGTCTCCACTTAGTCGGCAAAAGATAGCTCTGCGCATGCGCAGTGACCTATGGCTAGGGTTAGGGCTAGAATGAGGGTTAGGGGTAGGATTAGGGTTAGGGTTAGGGATAGGGTTAGGGATAGGATTAGGGTTGGTGCTAGGGTTCTGCGGTTGTAAACACACGCATGCGCAGTACCATCGAAAACATCGCCGCGAAGGCAAGTCGTAGTTTCTCTCCATTGCGCATGCGTATCTTATTCCGGCTAGCATCGGCCTTCTATATATCTACGTGGATATCTGAAAAGGAAACCCCAGTGTCAGAAATTGGTTGAAATTGAGCCAGGAGACAGTCCACATGTGACGTCACATCTTGACGACGAAAAAGTTTAATTTCAGTAGCTTTTGAGCATTTTAAAGAATTTTGTTGATTGCAAATTGTTACAGAATAAAGCGGCTTTTCTCGATAAAGCTAAATTAATATTGTAGTAAAAAAATGGCTGTTTTAAAAAAGAAATATCGTTATTAGGTGTAGGCTGAAGTGGAACGAAATGTAGTCAGACTGACATTGTGTGACGAAATGTGACGATAAGGGTGGATGAAAAGCGTGACGCCACCTTTGGGCGACTTTGACAACTAAAAAAAAAACTTACTGACAGTTTGAAATAAGAAAAAGCCTGGCATATCATATCACTAAATGAGAACAATGGGGGCAGTGTTTCTTCCAGACTTTTTCTCGGGGGGGGGGGGGGGGGGCTCTTGATATTTTCGGGGGGCGGTCAACATTTTCCAGGGGGGGGGGCGCGGACACTACACTAGTAAAAGTATATGTTTACTATATAAATTCCATCTCGTTCGGGGGGGGGGGGGCGGTAGACTTTCTTCGGGTGGGCGGAGCCCCCCCCCCCCCTCCCCCCGAAGAGATACCTGTAAGAAACCCTGAATAGGGGACTGATGGGGAATCGGGGGAATGGCACTAGTCGGTTAAAAAAAAAAATTCACGGTGTTTCTTTTTACACATGAAGAATTAATTCCACGCAATGTTATACTTGTAAATATGTTGTCCAGATTTTATTTTTTAACAATAAAACGTACATTAAATCGAATTTTTTTTTGTTATTTCTCGGTATGTAGTCGAAACAGAAGCTAAACACGAACACATGGATACTTTTTTTCTTATTGTATTTTATCGTCGTTTTTCTTGAAAGTTAAGCTTCCCTTTTAAAGCAGATAAAGTAGAGTTTATACATTTCTTGACTTCGGTCACCACTATGCTTAGCCACCTTTACTTTCTCCTACGTAAGTAAGGTACCCGTCAGAGCTGGGTGGACTCAGGTAAGTCATTCAGACCCTAATTCAAAACGAGATCCGAACTTGAGAGATCAGGTAAGGAGCTTAACTCTCTACCGCCTGACAACACCGTCCTCTTTTTTTTTCTTAAGCACACATAAAAATGGGTTGACATCTATAGCTCACAAACACAATCGTAGAGTATAAAGCATTTGGTCTTTTAAAAATGTCACCATTTAATTGAATCATCTCTTGGAAGACTCTAATCTTTTCTAAAGTTTTAAATCTTCTAATGAGAAGACAGAAATAAGTAGAATACTCAAATAAATTATCGTTATTTTATTTGTGACGGTTTTTCTTTCTTACTCTTGTTCTTTGCATATTTTGTATGGGACATTTATCCGAGATCATCTGTCCAGTAATATATATACATATATATGTATGTATGTATATATATATATATGTATATATATACATATATATGTATGTATGTATATATATATATATATGTATATATATATACATATATATGTATGTATGTATATATATATATATATATGTATATATATACATATATATGTATGTATATATATATATATATATGTATATATATACATATATATGTATGTATGTATATATATATATATATGTATATATATACATATATATGTATATTATATATATATATATATACATATAAATGTATATATATATATATAATATATATATATGTATATATATATATATATATATATATATATATATATATATATATATATATATATATATATATATATATATTGGCATCTCAACGAGTAACAGAGGTTCTGGATCAATGTATAGCTGTATTTAACCAACAGATAAAGTGCAACGAAGCCTAACGTATGATGCCAGTAGTAGAACCTTGCTGTCATTCACGCGGGCGTGCTGTGTATAGCACACACACAAGGCGTGTATTCGTGACACACCAAGCGTGTTATCGTGACACGCAGGGCGGGTTTCAAACAGGAAGTTTACCTTGTACATTGTGTATGTGAGGTCTGTTGGTCCCGTCGTTGTATGTTTGTGAAGGTCTTTTCGTAGGTTTCTGATTGTAAGTAGATGTGTATGTGGTGGTCTGTTCTGTATATTTGTGTATGTGTTATACTAATATAATTTCACATACGTTACCTTAACCCCTCCCGCCCCCATATCAGTTAATAAAATGTAAATATTCTACGAACCGAACCGTCAGAACGAACGAATGCTAGGATGAATTGATCAACTCTAAGATTATATATATATATATATATATATATATATATATATATATATATATATATATATATATATACACAAATATATATATATATATACACAAATATATATATATATATATACAAATATATATATATATATATATACATATATATACATATATATACATATATATATATATATATATATATATATATATATATATATATATATATATATATATATATATATATATATATATATATATATATACACAAATATATACGATTTTTCCAATTAGTAAGAAATATGGTAACATAAGAACTATAAAGATAATTAAGCTTAATTTTTTTTGTTTCTAGCGAGAACCGCCTGCTAATTGACCACACCACATAATGATGAAGTAGAGTTATCTCCCCTGAAAATGACCCAGACTTTCGAGTTCCGGCCCCTGTTTCTAGTGGGCCCTTTCTTTGCGTTGTTGGGGCTTATCGTCTACCTGGTGGGGCTCTTAACCTGCCATTGGATGGACGCCCAGGATGATGGCTTAGGTCTGTGGGGCTACTGCCATTATACTCTGGCTGGTAAGTGTTTGTACGACTAGTGCGTGTATGTGATTATCTTGGTACTTTGGCTGGGAAGTTGCCGTACGGCTAGTGCTAGTATGTAATTATCTTGGTACTTTGGCTGGGAAGTTGCCGTACGGCTAGTGCTAGTATGTAATTATCTTGGTACTTTGGCTGGGAAGTTGCCGTACGGCTAGTGCCGGTATGTGATTCTCTTGGTACTTTGACTGGGAAGTTGCCGTACGGCTAGTGCCGGTATGTGGTTCTCTTGGTACTTTGGCTGGGAAGTTGCCGTACGGCTAGTGCTGTGATTTGATTCTCTTGGTACTTTGGCTCGGAAGTTGCCGGTATGTTATTCTCCTAACAGACAAGATAGGCAGTGTGACTAGGTAAATGTTCAAACGAAAACTATGTACGGAAAAGTGCGCAGGGCAATTATTTTCTGGCAGAATAAACTATTTTTTTTCAGCGCTGTATGACCAAATGATAGTATAATAAGGTTGTCTTTGCACTTTTATTTTTGGGCAGTTTTCGTTGGCGCCTATTTTCTGTGAACGCCAAACACATGCCAATGAAAAAATTGAGGTAAAAAATTTGCATACCGGAAAACCCGACTGAGTAAAATAAACAACTCTATGACGTAGAAAAATAATCACATTAAAATAGGTATTTTGATTGGTCCGTTAATTTTAGAACAAATAAAGAAAGGAGGTCACGGCCTTTCCATTGATATGAAACACATTAGGCTTACGCGAAGCCTAATAGTACTTTTCTAGGTCAAAAAATTGCTATTTTTTACCAAAAAAGTAAACAAATGACGCTGTACACAATACTTTAAACCCGGTTTTTCATAAATAAATAATGCTTTTAGGGTCATAACACTGTCATTTTTAGATTCAACGATGTTTATTCTGTAAAAGTGGGAAATCGATGATTTAGTGGGTTTATGACGAAAAGTACACCCGCCCATGCCCTTTTAAATAATAAACAAGGTCTTTTTTTATATTTAAATGGAAGCCTTTACAGGGGGCGTCTAGAATCCTAACTCTAAATCTACCCCAAGACTAGTCAACTACCGGCCGTCAGTACAACCTTGGCTAAACCCCATGGTGGTTAAACCCTAATCTTAATCTAGATTTTTTTTTAAAACCCAGTAATAAACATGACCATAAGATGCTTTACTACAGCAAAAATTGTGTGTTAAGAATGTGTTATAATTTACTTTGTACTTCAAATAGTTCACAATAAAAAGCATAGCAAATGGAACATTTCGAAAAGCATGTTTGCTGTTTGTTTTGTTTTTTTCTATATATTTCTATGAGGTGGTTACTAGTGTTGCAGTGTTTTCTTCCTATGGTGTAGCACAACTATTTCTTACTCAGATATATCTCTAAAGTTACCCTAACAATTTTGTCTTCCTCAGATACATTTCTAATGTTACCCTAATAATTATTTCTCATAATGAAGTACCCTAACAACTATTTCTCCCAAAGTTCTACCTTTAATGTTACCCTAATAATTATTTCTCCTCATGATGTACCTCTAATGTTACCCTAACAACTATTTCTCCCCTTGATGTACTTCTAATGTTACCCTAACAACTATTTCTCCCAATAATTTACCTCTAATGTTACCCTAACAACTATTTCTCCCCATGATATACCTCTAATGTTACCCTAACAACTATTTCTCCCCATGATATACCTCTAATGTTACCCTAACAAATATTTCTCCCAATAATTTACCTCTAATGTTACCCTAACAACTATTTCTCCCCATGATATACCTCTAATGTTACCCTAACAACTATTTCTCCCCATGATATACCTCTAATGTTACCCTAACAATTATTTCTCCCCATGATGTACCTCTAATGTTACCCTAACAATTATTTTCTTCCACTAGTGTCGGTGCCAGGCGATTATGTGAGTCTCGGTACAGCCATGGCGATTCTAGCCATCATTTGTCTTGTCGGCAGCTACGTAGTTCTCGCCTATCACTTGTTGAAGAACCGTGGACAGATCTTAGATCATAAACAACAGTTTTTGGTGATAGCGGTGATGGAAGTTCTATCAGGTGATGTCTATGTTTATACGTTATCCAAACCAGTTTTTAGCATAATGGTGTTGGGAGTTCTATAAGGTGATATTCATGTTTGTACGTTATCAGTGGCGTAGCGAGGTCGGGTGTCACCCGGTGCGGCACCTAATGATGTCACCCCCCCTAGAGGCGTAGCGACCCTTCACGGGTACGAACTTTCAAATTTTCGATTTGCACCCCCCCCCCTCAAAATTTTGATTTGCACCCCCCTCAAGATTTCGATTTGCACCCCCCCCCCCCTCCCCTCAAACTTTCGATTTGCACCCCCCCCCCCTCAAGTTTTTCTCTATATACCTTGCTATTTTTTGCCTTGGTGTCACCCCCCGCCCCCCCCCCCCTCTTTACGCCCCTGTACGTTATCCAAAACAGTTTTTGATCATAGCGGTGTTGGAAATTCTATCAGGTGATGTCTATGTTTGTACGTTATCCAAACCAGTTTTTGTGAATAGCGGTGATGAAAGTTCTATCAGGTGATGTCTTTGTTTGTACGTTATCCAAACCAGTTTTTGGTGATAGCAGTGTTGGAAGTTTTATCAGGTGATGTCTTTGTTTGTACGTTATCCAAACCAGTTTTTTATCATAGCAGTGTTGGAAGTTCTATCAGGTGATGTCTATGTTTGTACGTTATCCAAACCAGTTTTTGGTGATAGCAGTGTTGGAAGTTTTATCAGGTGATGTCTTTGTTTGTACGTTATCCAAACCAGTTTTTTATCATAGCAGTGTTGGAAGTTCTATCAGGTGATGTCTATGTTTGTACGTTATCCAAACCAGTTTTTGGTGATAACGGTGTTAGAAGTTCTATCAGGTGATGTCTATGTTTATAAGGTCCATCTGTAAGAATTACCTCCGTCTTTGGGTGTTTAGGTGGACAGAAATAATGTTTTTTAAATTTAACTTAACGCTGTAAAACATCAAGCTTATGTGGGTAGGAGGTGTGGATAAGTGAATATTATTTTGTGTGGGTTTAGGTTAGGATTACGATACATGAGTAACTAGCCCACCTATGGTGGATTATATGGGGTTTACAAATCTAGATGTCAATCCAACATTCTTCGCCTTAGGAAAAAAAATTCAAACGTTACCATTTTTTTCAGTATTAGAAGAGTTTTTTTTTTATTGACAGCTCTACGAAATACCTAGTATTTCTCAAGGCTTAGACCTCCTGTCGAATATCCAAACACACTAACAAACCATATTTATAACTATTATCCTAACCTAACTCCTAATCCTTAACTCCACCGCTTCATCTGTTCACGTAACTCCCTGAGCTAGCAGTTATAATATCCGGTCCTGGTTTGATTTTCTAATAAAACAAGTAAGTAAAGACTTTATGATCCATAGGTCAGGTGAAACAGAGTTCATGTATTTCCTATATAAAGGGATGGTGTGGTCAGCGTTTTTGCCCAGGCGCCTTTACTTTCCCCAACGTGAGACAAGTACCCATTAGAGCTGGGTGTACTCAGCGACGTCCAACAGTGCTGAGTGCGGATGAAATCCGAACTTGAGACCTTCAAGCTAGTATTAAAACACCACGCAGGGCCGGCGCTACCTATAAGGCGAACTAGGCCGTCGCCTAGGGCGCCATTTCTAGGGGGGGGGGGCGCAAAAAGTTTTAATCGCTATTATCAAAAAGTACCTAATAATTAATAACTTTGATTATCTTTTATAGATGGTAATATACAAAGGAGTAGCATTCTATTTTGGCATCAAAGACGAACTATCAATTTTACACCCCCACCCTAAAAGTAGGTCTATATAGGCCTATATTTATTCGCGATGGTGTAAAGGCAACCACACCTCCCTAATTTGGAAAGGTCGGGGCGCTTTTTACCAGTCACTTTGCCTTTTTATTCTCGATGTAAAAACCGATTAAATGAGTTCGTAATTTAAATTTCGAATATTTCAAACGGTTATCTAATTTTAAAGTTGATTTAGTGATCGCTCCAGCGCATGACGGGACGTTCCAAAACTCGAGCAATTTTGTTTGTTTTTTCTTTGTTCTTGTGTATAGAGTTTCGTAGTGACTGGGTGTTCAAAGTATTGTACTGGTTTGGTACGTTTGGATGAATTGTTTAGATTTGGGAGTAACGGCGGAAGGTTGTTGCTATGGTTTCGTAGGTATAAACTTAGTATAAAGTATCGAAGTGTTAAGGTGTCATATATTTATTTTTTTGGCTGTTGTGAAGTTGTAGGTCTAGTGGAATCTGATTGGTAGTAGAGAAATGTGAATGTAGGTCATGAGGTATCGTAGTTCTGGAGTTCGGGAGTATCGAATCTTGTGGTATTAAGGTATCGAATTGTGTTGAGTGTTAACGTGTAGTAGTAGGTCCAGTGAAATCATTGTTGATTGGGAGTATCGTTTGTTGAGCTTGATGAAGTTAAGCGAGTTGGTGTCGTAGTTCTGTTTATTTAGGGGATGTGATAATAAAAATTGTATTTCTTTTTTTTTTTTTCGCCTAACACGTAATTTATAGCGTCAGTTGTGTGTTCGCTTTAGTATTACAGTTTTCATCATCGGCTTGTGAGGACTGATACAGATTTACAATAGTAATATTTCTTTCTTACTTGTAGCCTGCTTTCATTCATTTAAGATGGTTTACTTATACGTAAATCTAATACAAAACGTCTAAATATAAAGAAAAAATAAAAATTAAAAACCAACCTGAAACTGAAAATGCAAATGTGTAATTAAATGATGATTCAAGGGATTTTTTTTTCTCGGCGTGGTGGGATAAGGGGACGAGGGGGGGAGAGGGGGAATTTGGTTTTTTTTAAAGTGGAGCTGAAATGAATTTGGGATTACAGAGAATTAAAATGATACAAATTTTAAGCAATCGGAAAAGCTATGTTATTACAATGAGACACGTAAAAGCAAACACTCTTCCCTTTCAAACATCTATATCTATACAGTCCTCAATTAGTTTTTTTTTTCCTTTTGTTTTTATTAATTCAATTGTTTTAAACATTTAATAATTATTTATTTGATAGATTTTACACAGCATCAAAGACATGAACATCAATTGCATATATAATAATCAAATAGAGAATATATAATGGCTTAAGAACTAGACTAAAATAAGGTGTGCAAACTAGGTTTCTCTTGACTGCTTAGTTTACTGTGCTTTGTCCTTAGCTGAGGAGTCAAAAGTTCACATTGTAGCCACCAATGGACAGAAATAGAAACGACCGTGGGAGAAGTGTCTCTGCAGTACACATACTGATCTATCATTCCAAAACTTTCCATGACATAAAATTGACCCTTGGCAAAGAGGGCACGCTACCTTGAAAAATCCGCCAGTCCGGTTGAGTGGGGGAAGTGTGTGTGTGTGTGGGGGGGGGGGGGTTGAGGTGTGTATCTCTTTCTACCATTCAGGTTGTGCACTTTTAAAAACCTGGGAAACAGAAGACTGTTCTAATGTTAATTTACTTGAGGGCTGATCGAGTGATGTTTAGCTTGAGACTGTCGATATTAATTATGCATCTTGTTTATTTGCTTCTTCTGTAGTTCAAATGTTAGTTTCCTGTAAAAGTAGGATGTCAATATTGTGTTTATTTATTATGTTGTTTATATAATGTGTTTGTCCCTAGCCTCCCCTGATGTTCAATGTTGCCAGAGTTAGCATGAATTATTTGGGGTTTTCTTTCGAACATCTGTTTCTGGAGGGCTGGATGGTGGTGATCTTTTAACGCCAAACTTTCCAACCGCTGGTTTGCTATCCCGTTGGGCCCTGGTCACGACCCTTTGAGGTGGCTTTACTGTAGGTAATTGATTTTTACTTGAACTGATTGCTTGACTGTATGACAGTTGACCTGATACCTTTGTTGCTGATATACTTTGTGTGCTTTTAATTTCCTTTAGCGGTTTCGTTACGTTTTCTGAACTAGTGTTATCTTGAAGAATATCATTTATTGTTTCGTCGACAGCCTCCAAATTTTCTTGATTCCCATCGTTTTGAGACCTTGTTACTATGGAATTTCTGATCGCTATTGTCTCCATGGCTTCGGCCTCTATGGTGGTTTCTGTTACGCTTTCGTTAACTTGCTGTGATGCTGCAGTAGTATGATGTGCTTCAGTTTGGCCATCTACTCCAAAGGCATCTTCTTTCTCTCTATGCCTTGCTTCTCTAAGCATTTCATTTTGTCTTTCTCCGTCAACATCATAACTGTCCCAATGCTTTAAGAAATTTCTATTGTTACTTAGATGCTCCCTAACTTCTTCTTTATCATTTGCATCCCAAGGCTCAATTGCCCTGTACTATCCGTCTACTAGCTGGACGCCGTCAAGAGCGCGAGTCCTCAAATGCTCACACATTTTAGGCAGGTGCCTGTCTGTGTTGCAGTGGCAACATTGCACCCTCCTCCCATTGAGGATTATAAGGACTCTGCTCTCCTTGTTGGCCTCATTTGTAAGTATAATATAGTGTGGGACACTCTCCACATCTTCTTTCTCCAGAGAGATGGTGAATTGGACCACATTTGATTGGTCTATTCTCTTAAATGTTGGTGTTGAGTCCTGACTGCTTATAGATTTCAGAATCGCCATTATATCATCGTCGCTTGTCTTGGAAGGCAGCCATTTCAGCATGCCCCTTTGCCCAGATTTATCGGCGTGGGTTATTGATATTCTCTGCACTCTGTATCTGGATGTTACCCCAGGTGGCAAATCTCTGTGAAATTCTTTTAGGTGCATTTTCTCATATAGTTCCTTTGATCTAATGGTGACATACCATTTACGCAGTGTCCCATAGTTATACAGACCTTCAAATTCAGCTGGTGATAGGCTACATAACATACATAGCTCTCTTTTTAGTTCGTCAGCTGTGAGGGTAGCTAAAGAAAAACCCTCTTCTATGAAAATCTCTAGAGTTTTTGGTGCATGTCCTGCCATGCCAAACTTAGGCAGGAATAGCCGTTTGATGTATTTTTCCGACATAGTTGTGCGTGAGGCCCACCCGGGGCCAGGCAACACACACAAGAAATAAAAAAGAAAAAAAGTACTTACAATGTATAAAATGTGAAGGAAAAAAATAACACACACACAAGGTTCCAAATGGGATCTATATATAATACACAAGTGAAATAATTTTTCCTACCATAATAAAAATTGTATAATTATCACTATTCATGCGCATTGAAAATCCAGTAACGATTAAAGAATGTCATAAAAATTGACTAGAAGTTTGTCATAATAAAGCTACCGTGTTTTGACTTTCAAAGAAAACCTACAGTTAAGTAGTCAATGAGTAAAATATATTTTTTAGACACGGTCACATAGTTAATACAAAAGGTTAGGTATAATTATTACGTAATGAAATTTAGAGCGTTTTATTGTGTTTTTCAAACATGTCTTAGTTACACTTGGTTAATTTAGCTATTCTTGTGAAAGCTATTTCCCTTGAATAATATTTTGGTACTTGGATTTCCAAATGGGAGATAATTCGTTGCTTAACTTTACATTCATTTCAAACTCCTGCACATTAGGTTGACCGCTTACTTATAAATACAACGTTAAGTTATTATTTGCTATTGTAAAAATTATAAAGTGCAGAAGAATTTAAACAAAATATTTTGGTAGGTTTTTAGCATTATCAAGTTGAAAAACAAATACATCAGTAGCCGTTGTAGATTGCAATACTTAATGTTAGTAGACATACAGTATGAGATAGTGCAGCTAATGCGTCTAAAATCGTCTTAGTCGCAAATTAATCATATAATTAACTAAGTGCCTTTTTCATATTTTTCACATTCTTCTAAAGGATTCATATATAACAATTTGTAGGCTGGAATCTATAACTATAATTTATAACCTTTTATTTTTCGAAAAACAAAAAATCGATACATAATCACACAAGTTAGACAATTATAACTAGTGACGGTCAAGCTTAAAACAGGTAAGTTCCGTTTTGGAACTCACCTTGGGAGGTCTGCAGAGAGCCCAACACCACAAGAACTGTGGGGTTTTTTTTTCGGTGTTTACCAGACTTTTCTCTATCGGGAGGGGGGGGAGGGGGGGGGGGGGTAAGCACTTTAAATTTTTCTCGTGGACTTTGCAACAATTTCAATAGAATGTGATTACGCTTGCAAACTGGCATTGAAGGAATTAGTACACTTACGACGAAGGAGGCAGGTAAAATTTGATTTTGATGTCTACTCAGTGGCGTAGCGAGGTCGGGTGTCACCCGGTGCGGCACTTAATGGTGTCACCCCCCCAGAGGCGTAGCGACCCTTCCCGGGGACAAACTTTTCGATTTGCACCCCCCCCCCCCTCAAACTTTCGATTTGCACCCCCCCCCCCCCCTCAAGTTTTCGATTTGCACCCCCCCCCCTCGAACTTTCGATTTGCACCCCCCCTCAAGTTTTTCTCTATATATTTTCCTATTTTTTGCTTTGGTGTCACCCCCCTAAATGGTGTCACCCGGTGCGGTCCGCACCCCCCGCCCCCCCCCCCCCCTCGCTACGCCACTGTGTCTACTTATAATGTGTATACAAGCGACAAAAAATTAATATGTCGCTTTTAATTAATTTTTTTCTTATACATATGTTTTAGTAATTAATTTTGTGTGAAAGGGGGCGTTTTAATAAGTTAGCCTAGGGCGCTAAATAACCTGGCGCCGGTACTGACATCACGCCATTTATGAGACAAGTAGCTTATAAAATGTTAGTAGTACAAAAAAAAATTAAAAATCAATTCTAACTGAAGTCGTAATCCAAAACTTCATCATACTACTTCTCTTAACTATTCACAGTATATTTTTTTTGTAAACCTTAAATCCAGCTCCGCGGTTTGTGTAGTTGCCGAGCTAGGAAACACAAACAATGCCTTGGTGCCTTTAACATAAAAATTCTGAAATAAGGCCACACAAAAAGTGTTAGTCATAGATTAATTGTTAGAGTGTGATGTTTTTTTTTTTTCATGATGCTTAGTTAGAGTACGATGCTCTTTTTTTTTTCTTTTTTTTTCCATGACTCTTGGTTAGAGTATGATGTTGTTTTTTTTCTTTTTTTTTCCATGACGCTTGGTTAGAGTACGATGTTTTTTATTTCCATGACTCTTGGTTAGAGTAAGATGGGTTTTTTTTTTGTTTTTTTTCCATGACGCTTGGTTAGAGTAAGATGTTTTTTTTTTCCATGACGCTTGGTTAGAGTACGGTGGGGTTTTTTTTGTTGTTTTTTTTTCCATGACGCTTGGTTAGAGTACGATGTGTTTTTTTTTTCTTTTTTTTTCCATGACGCTTGGTTAGAGCACGATGGTTTTTTTTTTCTTTTTTTTTCCATGACGCTTGGTTAGAGTACGATGGTTGTTTTTTTTTCTTTTTTTTTCCATGACGCTTGGTTAGAGTAAGATGGGTTTTTTTTGTTTGTTTTTTCCATGACGCTTGGTTAGAGTACGATGGTATTTTTTTTTCTTTTTTTTTCCATGACGCTTGGTTAGAGCACGATGGTTTTTTTTTTCTTTTTTTTTCCATGACGCTTGGTTAGAGTACGATGGTTTTTTTTCCCCAGGATGCTTGGTAGCTGTCTTTCTGGGCATCTTGGTAGGTGAGGCCACTAGAGGAAGTGACGACGATCCCGTCTACGGTTTCGGCTTCTCATTTGGATTGGCTGCTCTGGGTTCTTGCTTCATGCTGATTGGTGGAATCGTCGAGATTGTGATTGTTGTGATGCACAGGACCTACAACTACCAGATACTACCCCACTCACACTAACCCTACAACTACCACAATACCCCCCTCCCACTAGCCCTACAACTACCAGACACTACCCCACTCACACTAACCCTACAACTACCAGACACTACCCCCCTCCCACTAGACCTACAACTACCAGACACACCAACTAGACAATCTTGTTTCATTGTCGCTGTAGTGTATACTATTAAAATCATAAACTTTTTACACCTTTCTTATACAATTTTAAAAAATTTTCTTAATTATATATAATTAAATTTATAATTAGATGTTTTTGCCGGATGGAGATATTGCCGGAAACGTTAGTAGCACCTAAGATTTTTAATTCCAATTAAGAATTGTTTTTATTGTTACTTGGTTGTCTTGATATATTTTTCACTGACTTGCAAATAACGAAATAAAGAGTGGCAGAAGCTTGAAGGCAACTCAATGTTTATTATTTTTAATGCAATTTATTATGTTGTCGGAATAATAAACATTTTTTCATTACAAAAACTATTTAATTAAATTTAACGGGAATTGTTAAAAATCCACAAATGTCTAAATCTATAGGTAGCCTACATAGACTTAGCTAACAGTCAACGCAGCGGACTAAAAGTACCTAGTCTAAGCAAGCATTGTCTAAACGTACATAACAAGACGTTATATGATAGAAAGCTTGAAATAGGAGATTGGCTTCTTGTGAGCTTTAGAGGAGGCCGATAAATGGTTCCATTGGGGAGGGGGGGGGGTCATTAGAGACATATAGTCACTTTGATTTAATGTCAGGTTATCATTTTAATTAAATAAGTTCTAATAGCAATTTTAACTAACCCAAAACAAGTTGTCTATGTAAATAAAACAAAACAAAAGTTTTTTTTTTACTGGAAATTGAACAGAGTTTGTAAGACAAACTATCTCAATTGGTTAGTATAAATAAAACTGATTCCGTCTTTTTGGTATTATAAAAAAACGTCAAATGGTGATTGTAAAGGTGCTTGATCCAGCAGATACTAGCAAGGGAACTCACACCAAACTTAGGACGTTTGGCCGAGCTGATGGGTTTTCTTAGTTCAGTAGTTCTCAGACTGTTGCGTTAACTCAGTGGTTCTCAGACGTTGGCTCAGTGGTTCTCAGATGTTGACGGTGGTTTTCAGATTGTGACATTGACTCAGTGGTTCTCAGACTGTTGCGTTAACTCAGTGTTTCTCAGACGTTGGCTCAGTGGTTCTCAAATGTTGACGGTGGTTTTCAGATTGTGACATTGACTCAGTGGTTCTCAGACTGTTGCGTTATCTTAGTGGCTCTCAGGCGTTGACAGTGGTTCTCAGACGTTGACAGTGGTTCTAAGAAGTTGACAGTGGTTCTCAGACGTTGACAGTGGTTCTCAGACGTTGACAGTGGTTCTAAGAAGTTGACAGTGGTTCTCAGACGTTGACAGTGGTTCTCAAACGTTCGCTCATCGGTACTCAGACTTTCGTTGAGCCAGTTCCGGTTGTTTTGCCGGTCTCAGAGCTGGGGTCCGTGGGATTGGTGGGTTCCTGAGCTTGCGTATTCTTTGACGTGCTAGTGGTCGCACTGCTGGGGTTCGTGTTTGTTTTAAGTACCTTTTTGCTAGCACTTGGGGTCGCAGTACTGGGATCCGCGGTGGTCTTTGGTTTGAAGGTGGTCGAGGTGCTGGCCGCCAGGTGGAGAGGTTTCTGTATGTTGGACGCTTGGAGGGCGCGGGAGATGGCGTCTGGAAGTTAAAGGTCATTCCATGTGTGTGTGTATATATATATATATATATATATATGTATGGTGACAGGACAAATGATCTCAGACAAAATATCTCAGACAAAATATCTCACGGACAAATGATCTCAGGACAAATTATCTCAGGACAAATTATCTCAAGGACAAATGATCTCATGGACAAAAGATATTTTGTCTGAGATCATTTGTCCTGAGATTATTTGTCATGGAACCATATATATATATATATATATATATATATATATATATATATATATATATATATATATATATATATATATATATATATATATATATATATATATATATACATATATCCCTCATTTCTTGACTTTGTTTTAGTTTGGGTTATGTAACTAAGATAGTGACCAATTCAATTTTGACAGAATATGCTTTGGTTGGAAAACAAACGCAAGTTAGATCAACACATTTTTCATTAATTGCTTAAACGTTAATGAGGTTGGAAAATTGGTACTTTTGATATGTGAAATATTGTCTGTATTGTGTTGACCTTATAATACAGATAGAGGCTGGAAATTCACCCAGTATTTTAAACTGACATGATTTTATCGTGTTCTTACTTTGTAGGCAAACCCCGTTTTACTTGGCAAGCGTCCCGGCTATGAAGATAACATCCAACGCTATTCTATATCCTACTGCTATGAAGATAACATCCAACGCTATTTTATATCCTACTGCTATGAAGATAACATCCAACGCTATTCTATATCCTACTGCTATGAAGATAACATCCAACGCTATTCTATATCCTACTGCTATGAAGATAACATCCAACGCTATTCTATATCCTACTGCTATGAAGATAACATCCAACGCTATTCTATATCCTACTGCTATGAAGATAACATCCAACGCTATTCTATATCCTACTGCTATGAAGATAACATCCAACGCTATTCTATATCCTACTGCTATGAAGATAACATCCAACGCTATTCTATATCCTACTGCTATGAAGATAACATCCAACGCTATTCTATATCCTACTGCTATGAAGATAACATCCAACGCTATTCTATATCCTACTGCTATGAAGATAACATCCAACGCTATTCTATATCCTACTGCTATGAAGATAACATCCAACGCTATTCTATATCCTACTGCTATGAAGATAACATCCAACGCTATTCTATATCCTACTGCTATGAAGATAACATCCAACGCTATTCTATATCCTACTGCTATGAAGATAACATCCAACGCTATTCTATATCCTACTGCTATGAAGATAACATCCAACGCTATTCTATATCCTACTGCTATGAAGATAACATCCAACGCTATTCTATATCCTACTGCTATGAAGATAACATCCAACGCTATTCTATATCCTACTGCTATGAAGATAACATCCAAACCTATTGTGCGTCCTACAGCTATGTATAGTTTAACAATCATGATATTGCATGATATTTGTTATTATTATTATTTATTATTTGTAAGTATTTCATTCTTTTCTTTGCAAATAGCCCTCGCTTGTCGTTAACTTTTGAAAACTTATTAAATCTGTACCGTTAACTTTTGAAAACTTATTAAACCTGAGCAATTTAATCACACTCCCCCAACTCTGAGCTAATTAGCTTCAGTTTTAAAACATACACGACATCTAAAACACAACTGACCTATGTGCTTCCCCACCAAGACTTCCACTGGATCACTTGGCTCCTTCATGGCGCCTCCCAACAGTATGACGAAGACGAGGCAGAAGAACAGGACGAAAGCCACCACAAAGCACATGACCACCAGGAACACGTCAATCTTGAAGTTCGGCACCTTGAAGGTTTCAGTGGGTTTCGTCGTCTTCTCCACAACTTTGTCTGTGGCTGGGGGGGGGGGAGGTTTTTTTAATGAGGGTGGGGGGTATTAGAGTGAGCAGAATTACGTCATTTGTGTGGAATTATATACGAATAGTTGCGCTGAATTCAGCAAGGATGAATGTATTCACTGGTGGTTTTATAGATTTACATACAGATGGAAATATGGAATTTTGTACGGATGGGATTAAGCACGAATAGTGTTATTGAGTCTTATGAGTTGTGGGATTGTGTAATGATACAATTTTTTGATCGGATGGAATTATGGACGGAAGTTTTAAAGCATTATGTAAGGAATTTAAAGAAAGCTGTTTTAAGAATGCTGGAGCAGTTTACTATTGGAATCATGCACGCTGGATATATTAAATGATGAACTACTATCTTGTAAAGATACACTGTACCAATGACAAACTGCTTCAAGGGTGCAATGTTTTAATGATGTACTAACTATATACTGACAAGGCGTGCGATATTTGTGTGATGACGAACAGATAAAGTGTACACCCCATGTGAATGATGTCACCAAACTTACCGGAGAGGCAAAGCTTTCCCCGACCCCCGGGCCGACACTGGAGGCACTGACCGTCAATGTGACACTCAAGGTTATGGCAGCCCGTGCTGCAGAATCGTGAGCAGGTCAGCCCATACCTGGGTGAGGCACAGTCTGTAAAGGAAGGGGTGGGGGCGTTTGGTTACAGCTATAGCAGGCTCTATGGGACGGCGTGGCCTAGCGGTATAGCGCTAGACTGCTAATCCGAAAGTCTCGAGTTCGAATCCGGGTTCAAATAAGCGGAACGTCTACCAAACTCTGATGGTTATTCAACTCAAAAGTAAAGGTGGGCGGGCACATGGCTCACCACTTCATACGCCGAGGTCACAGAAACACGTGAACTCTACTTCATTTACCCCATGTATCTTCAGGTCCGAAAAGGGAACTTAACCTTTATAACAGGCTCTATTGGTGGAATACATGATATTTCTTTCCAAACATTTATATCGATGTAGTCAACGGCTCAATCTTATAATTGTAAAAAACCATTGTTAGTCAGTTGTCCCTTACAACACCAGTACATAGCATGGCTACCGATCTATTTCAAATACTTGCGGATGTCTTGAAGTTTGTTTAGGCTACTAAAGATTTAATGCCAGCCAACACATAAAGGTGTAAAAATAGACTCCCGTCTTCTGTTACCTCCGAAAGTCTCCACTTCACAGATCTGTAGGACAGCCTCGAACTGGGAGTACAGCCCTGTATGGCTGTTGGCTGTCACTGACAGCCTCGCAAACGGAGTGTCAGTGTCAGTGCTGACGTGATATGCACGCCGCGGTTTCCGGCTGTCGTCAGTGTAGCGGATTATTTCCGTATCCGTGTCGTCTTGGCCGGAAATGGTAAAACCCATCAGATAGTGACTGTTGATAGCTGGGGAACAATTAAAGCAAAACCGTTGATAATTGGGGAACAATTAGAACATAACAGTTGATAGCTGGGGAACAATTAGAACATAACCGTTGATAATTGGGGAACAATTAGAGCATGACTGTTGATAATTGGGGAACTACTAAATCGTGACTTTATCACTGGGGAACAATCAGAGCGTAGCTTTTGATGATTTTGGAACATTCAGAGCGTGGCATATTGATGACTGGGGAACCAAAGACTATAACCGGTGGTAACCTCCAGCATAAATCTAATACCTGACGAATAGCAGAAATAACAGATGGCTCCTTTGGATATAAACACTTCTGTCTATAAACGCCCCCAAACAGAAACACCCAAAAACATAAACACCCCTGGACAGAAAGACTCCTAAATTTTTAGATAAGAAACTGAGGATAGAAATTTGTTCTAAAAGTGGTTTAAGTGTTAAGTTAGTTATTAAATTTGTTTCTACTAAAGAAGTCAATATTTTTTTTAGTCATAGTCCTTGTTAAATTTAGTTAAAACACGCAGTAAGACCGAATTCATAGCCAAAATACAGATTATTTTTTGCGTAAGGCATTGTTGAAAGAAATATCTCTTTCAGATTAATAGTTTGCCTTTTGGTCAAAAACGTGTATCTATTTAAAATAAATCACAATCCAAATAGCGTCGAACTCTTTCTGTATGTACAGAGATAAGGCTTTCTACTTTGTTGTTCGGCTGGGTACAATAGGGCTGGTAAGTAGGTCCCAAACCAGTTCTATGGCTCATGCAGGTTTTATTGAGTCGTAGAACTGGTTGGTGACCTACTTACCAGCCCTATTACTGATAAAACTAATGGCGTAATTAAACAACACAGCAGTAGGGCCTCACCACTCACCACTCACCACTCACCACTCACCACTCACCAAACACCACTCACCACTCACCACTCACGACTCACCACTCACCACTCACCACTCACCACTCACCAAACACCACTCACCACTCACCACTCACGACTCACCACTCACCACTCACCACTCACCACTCACCACTCACCAAACACCACTCACCACTCACCAAACACCACTCACCACTCACCACTCACCACTCACCACTCACCACTCACCACTCACCACTCACCACTCACCACTCACCACTCACCACTCACCACTCACCACTCACCACTCACCACTCACCACTCACCACTCACCACTCACCAAACACCACTCACCACTCACCACTCACCACTCACCACTGTTGTGTAGGACTAGCTCCTGAAGCAGCTTGGGGTACCTGTACTCAATCGACCATGACGGGCTGCGGTCGTGCACGTCGGTTAGGGTGCACACATCTCTAGCACCGTCCACGGCATTAGCAGAAGTTTTGTTGAAGTTTCTGAAAGGTCTGGTGCTCGTCTGGTTGGTGGTTTGTTGGATAGCCACATTGCGTCCTGCCGGGTTACATATGTGTGTATTGTATACATGATATATTATATATATTGTAGGTGTGTGATACATATAAACACACACACACATATATATATATGTATATATATATATATATATATATATATATATATATATATATATATATATATATATATATATATATATATTTATATTTATATTCAAAACATTCGGAAAAGAGGATGCAGGTGGGTTAAATAAGACGTGAAGACGGTGGTAAATACAGACTTCATACGTACCTCCACTTATGTAGATGGTGCAGACAGACTTCAGACATACCTCCACTTATGTAGATCATACAGACAGACATCAAACATACCTCCACTTATGTAGATCGTACAGACAGACATCAAACATACCTCCACTTATGTAGATCGTACAGACAGACATCAAACATACCTCCACTTATGTAGATCGTACAGACAGACATCAGACGTACCTCCACTTATGTAGATGGTACAGACAGACTTCAGACATACCTCCACTTATGTAGATCGTACAGACAGACATCAAACATACCTCCACTTATGTAGATCGTACAGACAGACATCAAACATACCTCCACTTATGTAGATCGTACAGACAGACATCAGACGTACCTCCACTTATGTAGATGGTACAGACAGACTTCAGACATACCTCCACTTATGTAGATCGTACAGACAGACATCAAACATACCTCCACTTATGTAGATCGTACAGACAGACATCAAACATACCTCCACTTATGTAGATCGTACAGACAGACATCAGACATACCTCCACTTATGTAGATCGTACAGACAGACATCAGACGTACCTCCACTTATGTAGATGGTACAGACAGACTTCAGGCCGTACCAGTAAACCTCCACCACCTGCACCACACCACGTGACTTGCAGACGACATCAACCACGTGATCGTCCACTACCAACAGCCTCATGTCGTCACAGGGAACATTGGTGCCATTCAGTTGCCGCAGCCGCACGTAAAAATGTTGGGACTTCCCTTACCAAAATGTCGAGAACGCTCTCATTATTTAGTAATTAAAGAGGTAGTGTTAGTTTTTTCACAAATTAATGACAGGACAGTCACAATAGACATGTCGACCCAACGTCTTCGTCGGCATGTATTAATTAATGTATTCAGATCCAAGACTTTGAGCGGTTTTCAGCATAATGCTTGTTGTAATGATAATCTGAGAACGTTCTGTAACTACCGCTTCTAGAATTGACTCATAAACCGCCAATCAGATCCCGATTGGTCCCCCCCCCCTCCACTCTCATGAAGTAGTACCAGGAAGTCTTATCTTCTGCACACATTTGCTCATGCACGTGTACGCTAAAAATAGACTATAAACACACGTACACTTACACACACATGCACGATCAGTCAGATAAACGACATACACGCACACACACAAAATGCGCACAGACACAAGCACAAGATGCACACATACACGCACCAAAAAAACCACATACACACAAACAGCATACACGCGCACGGACACACAGACTTACAGACACACATCCACTCTCAGTTACACACACACACACATACATTCTCAGTCACACACACATACATTTTCAGTCACACACACACATACACTCTCAATCTCACACACACACACACATGCACTCTCAGTCTCACACACACACATACACTCTCAGTCTCACACACACACACATGCACTCTCAGTCACACACATAAACACACACACACACACACACTCATACACACACACACCTTCCTCTTTGATGACGAACCGCACCCAGGTAAACTTGACAAGCCTTTGGAAGGTGAAGGTCACTTTCCTGACCGTTGGATGCGTGCACGTGGCGTCATCATAGTCGGCCACTTCAGCCACATCGGTGGACGCCTCTGGCACCACGTCCTCTGGCAGAGTCAGGAAAAGTGACGTCATCAGTTCATGTGATCTAACACAACTCTAGCTAAATGTGACGTCATCAGTCCACGTGATCTAACACAACTCTAGCTAAATGTGACGTCATCAGTTCACGTGATCTAACACAACTCTAGCTAAATGTGACGTCATCAGCCCATGTGATCTAACACAACTCTAGCTAAATGTGACGTCATCAGTCAACGTGATCTAACACAACTCTAGCTAAATGTGACGTCATCAGTCCATGTGATCTAACACAACTCTAGCTAAATGTGACGTCATCAGCCTATGTGATCTAACACAACTCTAGGTAAATGTGACGTCATCAGTCAATGTGATCTAACACAACTCTAGGTAAATGTGACGTCATCAGCCTATGTGATCTAACACAACTGTACGTAAATGTGACGTCATCAGTCAATGTGATCTAACACAACTCTAGGTAAATGTGACGTCATCAGTCAATGTGATCTAACACAACTCTAGGTAAATGTGACGTCATCAGCCTATGTGATCTAACACAACTCTAGGTAAATGTGACGTCATCAGTCAATGTGATCTAACACAACTCTAGGTAAATGTGACGTCATCAGTCAACGTGATCTAGCTAAATGTAGGGATATTCTATTTACTAGCTTTTATCAACGAATTAACTAGTTATAGATTTTTTCCTGTTTCTCGCAGAAAAATTAACAAAACCTATGAGATCTGAGTTTGATTTCTATACAACAGAAGTTTCAAGCTAAAGACCTACTGTATTGGCAGTTGTCAACAGAAGTTTCTAGATAAAGACCTACTGTGTCAACAGAAGTTTCTAGATAAAGACCAACTGTATTGGCAGTTGTCAACAGAAGTTTCAAGCTAAAGACCTACTGTATTGGCAGTTGTGAACAGAAGTTTCAAGCTAAAGACCTACTGTATTGGCAGTTGTCAACAGAAGTTTCAAGCTAAAGACCTACTGTATTGGCAGTTGTGAACAGAAGTTTCAAGCTAAAGACCTACTGTATTGGCAGTTGTCAACAGAAGTTTCTAAAAGACCTACTGTACTGGCAATTGTCAACAGAAGTTTCAAGCTAAAGACCTGCTGTATTGGCAGTTGTCAACAGAAGTTTCTAGATAAAGACCTACTGTATTGGCAGTTGTGAACAGAAGTTTCAAGCTAAAGACCTACTGTATTGGCAGTTGTCAACAGAAGTTTCTAAAAGACCTACTGTATTGGCAGTTGTCAACAGAAGTTTCTAAAAGACCTACTGTATTGGCAGTTGTCAACAGAAGTTTCTAGATAAAGACCTACTGTACTGGCAGTTGTCAACAGAAGTTTCAAGCTAAAGACCTACTGTATTGGCAGTTGTCAACAGAAGTTTCTAGATAAAGACCTACTGTACTGGCAGTTGTCAACAGAAGTTTCTAGATAAAGACCTACTGTACTGGCAGTTGTCAACAGAAGTTTCAAGCTAAAGACCTACTGTATTGGCAGTTGTGAACAGAAGTTTCAAGCTAAAGACCTACTGTATTGGCAGTTGTCAACAGAAGTTTCAAGCTAAAGACCTACTGTATTGGCAGTTGTCAACAGAAGTTTCAAGCTAAAGACCTACTGTATTGGCAGTTGTCAACAGAAGTTTCTAAAAGACCTACTGTACTGGCAATTGTCAACAGAAGTTTCAAGCTAAAGACCTACTGTATTGGCAGTTGTCAACAGAAGTTTCTAGATAAAGACCTACTGTATTGGCAGTTGTCAACAGAAGTTTCTAGATAAAGACCTACTGTATTGGCAGTTGTGAACAGAAGTTTCAAGCTAAAGACCTACTGTATTGGCAGTTGTCAACAGAAGTTTCTAAAAGACCTACTGTATTGGCAGTTGTCACCAGAAGTTTCTAAAAGACCTACTGTATTGGCAGTTGTCAACAGAAGTTTCTAGATAAAGACCTACTGTATTGGCAGTTGTCAACAGAAGTTTCTAAAAGACCTACTGTATTGGCAGTTGTCAACAGAAGTTTCTAAAAGACCTACTGTATTGGCAGTTGTCAACAGAAGTTTCTAGATAAAGACCTACTGTATTGGCAGTTGTCAATAGAAGTTTCTAGATCAAAGACCTACTGTACTGGCAATTGTCAACAGAAGTTTCAAGCTAAAGACCTACTGTATTGGCAGTTGTCAAGTTTCAAGCTAAAGACCTACTGTATTGGCAGTTGTCAACAGAAGTTTCTAGATAAAGACCTACTGTACTGGAAGTTGTCAACAGAAGTTTCTAAATAAAGACCTACTGTACTGGCAGTTGTCAACAGAAGTTTCAAGCTAAAGACCTACTGTATTGGCAGTTGTCAACAGAAGTTTCTAGATCAAAGACCTACTGTACTGGCAATTGTCCACAGAAGTTTCAAGCTAAAGACCTACTGTATTGGCAGTTGTCAAGTTTCAAGCTAAAGACCTACTGTATTGGCAGTTGTCAACAGAAGTTTCTAGATAAAGACCTACTGTACTGGAAGTTGTCAACAGAAGTTTCTAAATAAAGACCTACTGTACTGGCAGTTGTCAACAGAAGTTTCAAGCTAAAGACCTACTGTATTGGCAGTTGTCAACAGAAGTTTCTAGATAAAGACCTACTGTATTGGCAGTTGTCAAGTTTCAAGCTAAAGACCTACTGTATTGGCAGTTGTCAACAGAAGTTTCTAGATAAAGACCTACTGTACTGGAAGTTGTCAACAGAAGTTTCTAAATAAAGACCTACTGAATTGGCAGTTGTCAACAGAAGTTTCTAAATAAAGACCTACTGTATTGGCAGTTGTCAACAGAAGTTTCTAAATAAAGACCTACTGTATTGGCAGTTGTCTGTGAACCAGCCGTCCAGACATCTCCCGTCCGTGACGTCACACGCCCCCGTGACGTTGTCACACCCCATCTGTCCCCAGCACCGACACACGAACCGACACTCCGGGCCAAACCATCCCTCTTGACACCCTGGGGATTTGATATTCCGTCATTCAGTTTTTAGCGATCCGGTAGATTATCTTTGTGTTAGATTTGTCTAAACAATATATTTCTATATATTTTTTTTTTATTTATTCATTTATTTGTTCAATAACGGTAACAATAACAGTAGGCACGGAAGCCTTCTTTAATATTGGCCGGTTTCTTTAATAACATAATAACATTTTAATAAAAAAAGAAATTGAGTAGCAAAGACATAGTAGTGGCAGTAATATAGCGTTAAAAAATTTATAATAAAGAAATAATATTACATTATTACGTACTTATAGTACACAATGGCATAGAGTTAGAATATAAAAGGGAAATGAGAAATTTTGCAAGTTAAGGAGGTCATTAAATAGTTGTTGCTTTAATTTTGAATATATTTTTTCAGATATGGATAGTTTTATTTTACCGTGGATCCACAATCTATCGAATCTAATGGATAGACAGAAAGAACATACCTTTGGATAAACTTAGGAACATCGCTAGTAAACACACACTCTGGATATAATATCCTTTAAGTAACATAATTATAATTTATGAATACTGCAGATACTAGTTTTGAAACAGTGTTGTTTAAATTTTGCTGAGAGTTGCCGTTCGTGATGAATGTATTACATTGGTGCTGCATGGTGCATCAGTGTTGATGGTTCGTCTAAAGCAGGGGTCTCCAAACTACGGCCCGCGGGCCGGATGCGGCCCGCGAGGTCCTCTCATCCGGCCCGCGGAGATCTTTTTGTCCACGGAATAAATATTTGTTGGTGATGGCTGAGGAACATGCCTGGAATAAACTGGCCCCCGAACTGAAATTTGATAGTTAATGCGGCCCTCGGACTGAAAAGTTTGGAGACCCCTGGTCTAAAGTGTGATATCTTCACCCAACAAGTTAACCGATTGCTAAAACAGCCCTACCTGATCGGTGCGTAATGTGCACTTAGCACTAAGCTGCACATGACCTACAACCTCGGGCTGCACCATGCCGTTGTTTGTGTTACGTCATCATGTCCAAGATCGTCGTCTGATGTCGGCCACACTTTAAGAAGATAAAACAGTCTCTAGGTTGTTTTTTTTTTCTTCTCAATTAGCGAGTAATTTAAAATGGTAATGTATACCTTGGGAAAAAAACAATAAGAAAAGCGAAGCGAGATTTTATTTATAAAATTAACTTTTCAACAAAAAAAAACAACTAAAGGATTTATAAACACTGAAGAATATATAATTTATGTGTTTTATTTTCCTCAAAAACGCTTTCCGAACAAAACATCAATACAAAAGAACTACGCAAGTGTACATGTAACGGTTTTTTTATTATAAAAATGTCAGCCGGGGGGAACGGCACCCCAACACACCACCTAGTTACGCCACTACAGTATCGTGTTGTATTTGTAGTCACTATCTGTCCTTTAGTGACTCGGGGGGCCGGGGATCATTTTCTGAAACAATAACATTTCAAACTAACGAAACGTTTTAGTGCACTTACATTTTAACTGATATTTTTATTGGGTTTTAAAAATATATGATGGAAAAAAAATTGTTTAAATTATAGTTATTGGTAAGACTAAAAATCATAACTTAAGTTTAAAAATTACATACTTAATATCAGTCAGTGCTAACTCTGACTAGAAATGGTACAATTTAGAGCTACCTCTTGATAGAAATGGGTGCTTGAGCAATCTAACTAATTCGTTATACACCAGTTATGTCATATTTCATTCGCAAAACATCTGTCATTGATTATACACAAAGCATAAGTCATATTCAACAAGCACCAGTCATGCATTATAAATAAAGCATCTGTCATGGTTCAAACATTAAACATCTTTCATACATCATACATCTAACATGTCATGTATCATACATCAACCATATGTCGTGCAACATGTTTCAAACAGCTGACAAACATCAAACATCTGTTACTCAGCACAAAATAGCATTCAAACATCTGTCATACATTATACATCACGCATCTGTCATGCTGTATACATCAACCATCTGTCATGTATCATACAACAAACATCAGCCACACACCAACCGTCATCAACCACCTGTCATGTATCATACACCCAGCATCAGTCACACACCAACCTTCATCAACCATCTGTCATGTATCATACATCAACCATGTCATATATCATACAACAAACATCAGTCACACACCAACCTTCATCAACCATCTGTCATGTATCATACATCAACCATCTGTCATATATCATACAACAAACATCAGCCACACACCAACCTTCATCACACATCTGTCATGTATCATACAACAAACAGCAGTCACACACCAACCTTCATCAACCATCTGTCACGTATCACACACCCAACATCAGTCACACACCAACCTTCATCAACCATCTGTCATGTATCATACATCAACCATCTGTCATGTATCATACAACAAACATCAGTCACACACCAACCTTCATCAACCATCTGTCATGTATCATACATCAACCATCTGTCATATATCATACAACAAACATCAGTCACACACCAACCTTCATCAACAAAAGGCTGGATGCGGACCCGGTCCTTCTTCTTGCAGCACAAACAAAAAGTACACACACCGATGACCACAACACACAGCACTATCAATGTCCAGCGCACACCGCCCTCAGGGCCAAGGTCATCGTCCTCGGTCTTCTCATCCACTTTTTTGGTCGTCTTGTTGACCTTGAACTCCCCGTAGTCTATAACTGTTTCCGGTTTATTCAAACCTGCAAGGTCAAATTGAAATAGTTACTTTCACATTTAGGTCAAATAGAAATAGTTACTTTCACATTTAGATCAAATAGAAATAGTTACACTTTCACATTTAGGTCAAATAGAAATAGTTACTTTAACATTTAGGTCAAATAGAAATAGTTACTTTAACATTTAGGTCAAGTAGAAATAGTACTTTCACATTTCGGTCAAATAGGAATAGTTACTGTCACATTTAGGTCAAATAAAAATAGTTACACTTTCACATTTAGGTCGAATAGGTATAGTTACTTTAACATTTAGGTCGAATAGAAATAGTTACTTTCACATTTAGGTCGAATAGAAATAGTTACTTTAACATTTAGGTCGAATAGAAATAGTTACTTTCATATTAAGGTCAAATAGAACTAGTTACTTTCACATTTAGGTCAAATAGATATAGTTACTTCAACATTTAGGTCAAATAAAAATAGTTACTTTCACATTTAGCAAAAAATCAAAGGGCCGAAACACTAGTTGGTTGATCAAAAACGTCCGGTATTCTTTCAAGTCTAGATTCTATAAAATGCCCTAACCCTAAACACCAACCTTGGTCCTAACTAAAATTTTAATCCTAAACCTAACCCTTACTCCGACCAGACCAAAAATTTAACACCATCAGCTTTATCGGCAACAAAAATTGATAATGAAATTGATAAATTGTATTTCATTTTTAAAAGAAAGCAAAAGTATTCCCAAAGTTGATACAGTAAATCGATATTCGTATTTTTACTTTTAAAAAAAACAACACAAAATTACCCCACCCCCCCCCCCACCCCTGGTTTTGATGACGTCTGTAGAGCCAGTGACGTAAACCTACCTTCAACACAGAACCTGCCGGTCCTACCGGGTGGACAGTGGTAGCAGTGACCGTTGAAGTGGCAGGCCTGGTCCTGGCACCCGATGCTACAGATCTCGTTACAGGCCAGACCGTACAAGGGCGGCTTGCAATCTGGGGCATCAAAGGGAGGGAACGCTGGTAAAGGGAGCTAAACTTTTCTAGATTAAGGTAAATTTAGCGTGATGGGCTGATGGGGTAAGGAGGTGGGGTCAGGCCTTGTTTCAATAAATTTTCGAATTTTTAAAAATATGACATGTCAATAAAGTCAGTCTGTTCCTAATTTGCTAAAATGCAAGTAAAGTTTCCGACGTTACTCCAGTCCAAAGAGCTTACACAAAGTTATCCTCTTTCACGATACACAAAAAATGTCAACAAGAAAAAGTCTCCACCTCAAACACCACCAACATCTTAGCCCACCCCCCAAACCCCTACCCCCACACCTACTCACCCCCGTAGGCCTCCACCTCACACACCATCCCCACTCCACCCCCACTCACTCCCATTGGCCTCCACCTCACACACCACTCCCACCCCAACACACCACCCCCACACAACACCCCCACACCAACTCACCACCATAAGCCTCCACCTCACACACCACCCTCGCACACCCCACCCTCACACCCACTCACCACCATAAGCCTCCACCTCACACACCACCCCCACACACCCACTCACCCCCATAAGCCTCCACCTCACACACCACCCCCACCCCCACACAACACCCCCACCCCCACACACCATCCCCACCGCCACTCACCCCATAAGCCTCCACCTCACACACCACCCCCACGCCCACTCACCCCCATAATACTCCACCCCACACACCACCCCCACACACCTACTCACCCCCATAAGCCTCCACCTCACACACCACCCCCACACACCACCCCCACACCCCCACTCACCCCCATAGGCCTCCACCTCACACACCACCCCCACACACCACCCCCACACCCCCACTAACCCCCATAGGCCTCCACCTCACACACCACCCCCACACACCACCCCCACACCCCCACTCACCCCCATAGGCCTCCACCTCACACACCACCAACATCTTAGTCCTCTGGTGCACGTGCGTGGGGTACTCATTGATGACGAGATTGACCCTGGACACGGGCACCTGTACACGTGTTTTGATGACGTAGATCTTGAGTGGCTGAGTCAGCTGATCACTGTAGGTGAGCACCTGCTCTGACCTCTGGTCGTAGACCGTCAGGTTAAACCCCATCATCTGGTAGTTCAGGTCGCCTGGGGTAGAGGTCAAACATGTGAGGTCAAACATGTGAGGTCAAACATGTGAGGTAAACACAGAAGGTTATGAACTCTAGGGTGACAGGCAGGGCGGTATCGAGTTGTGACTAGCCGGGCGGTATCGAGCTATGACAGGCAGGGCGGTATCGAGCTATGACAGGCAGGGCGGTATCGAGCTATGACTGGCAGGGCGGTATCGAGCTAAGAGAGGCAGGGCGGTATCGAGCTATGAGAGGCTGTGCGGTATCGAGCTATGAGAGGCAGGGCGGTATCGAGCTATGACTGGCAGGGCGGTATCGAGCTAAGAGAGGCAGGGCGGTATCAAGCTAAGAGAGGCAGGGCGGTATCGAGCTATGACAGGCAGGGCGGTATCGAGCTATGACAGGCAGGGCGGTATCTAGCTAAGAGAGGCAGGGCGGTATCGAGCTATGACAGGCAGGGCAGTATCGAGTTGTGACTAGCCGGGCGGTATCGAGCTATGACAGGCAGGGCGGTATCGAGCTATGACAGGCAGGACGGTATCGATCTATGACAGGCAGGACGGTATCGAGTTGTGACTAGCTGTGCGGTATCGAGCTATGAGAGGCAGGGCGGTATCGAGCTATGACAGGCAGGACGGTATCGAGTTGTGACTAGCTGTGCGGTATCGAGCTATGAGAGGCAGGGCGGTATCGAGCTATGACTGGCAGGGCGGTATCGAGCTAAGAGAGGCAGGGCGGTATCGAGCTAAGAGAGGCAGGGCGGTATCGAGCTATGACAGGCAGGGCGGTATCGAGCTATGAGAGGCAGGGCGGTATCGAGCTAAGAGAGGCAGGGCGGTATCGAGCTATGACAGGCAGGGCAGTATCGAGCTATGACAGGCAGGGCGGTATCGAGTTATGACAGGCAGGGCAGTATCGAGCTATGACAGGCAGGACGGTATCGAGTTATGAGAGGCAGGGCAGTATCGAGCTATGAGAGGCAGGGCAGTATCGAGCTAAGAGAGGCAGGGCGGTATCGAGCTATGACAGGCAGGGCAGTATCGAGCTATGACAGGCAGGGCGGTATCGAGTTATGACAGGCAGGGCAGTATCGAGCTATGACAGGCAGGACGGTATCGAGTTATGAGAGGCAGGGCGGTATCGAGCTATGAGAGGCAGGGCGGTATCGATCTATGACAGGCAGGACGGTATCGAGTTGTGACTAGCTGTGCGGTATCGAGCTATGAGAGGCAGGGCGGTATCGAGCTATGACAGGCAGGACGGTATCGAGTTGTGACTAGCTGTGCGGTATCGAGCTATGAGAGGCAGGGCGGTATCGAGCTATGACAGACAGGACGGTATCGAGTTGTGACTAGCTGGGCGGTATCGAGCTATGAGAGGCAGGGTGGTATCGAGCTATGCCACCTGGACGGTATCGAGTTTCTATGATGACTGGCAGGACGGTATCTAGCTATGACAGGCAGGGTGGTATCGAGTTTCAGTTATGCTGGTTTCGATACCCACGCCCTAAACCTAGTCCTAACTCGTCCAGATTAAGATAATAAAGACGCGAAAGTACGAAGATATTACAAAAAAAAATTAAAAATAAATAAAAAGACTACTGCCATATTTCGTTGACAATTAGCATCAATTAACCCAAACTTATGAGATAGTAACATTTTAGTTGTTATTGTGCTAGTTGTAAGTATATTTTGTTTAAATAAATTTTACATATTTTTATTTGTTTAAATCAGTTCAAAATTGGATCGATGAATATAATATAGGGACTATAAATACAGCCAGATTCGCTAACTTATACATGCTTTGGTTATATGTTCAAAGGGAAGCAACTCAAATAATGTTTTCTTTAAAATGAAAATGATCTGATTATTTCCCCTTAATTGAATGAAAATAAATGGTGCAGTCGAGTATATTGAGGCGTAGCGATGGGGGGGGGGCAGGGGGGGACATATGTTTACGAGCGCCGACCTTAGGGGGCGCCAAAATGGGTTGGAAAAGTAATCGAAAGTTTGAGGGGGGGTGCAAATCAAAAGTTTGAGGGAGGGGGGGTGCACATCGAAAGTTTGTCCCCGGGCGCCGGGAAGGGTCGATACCCCTCTGGGTCATCGATAAGATTCTTTTACGGAAAGTTAAGAAATTTGTTTCGTCCTTTTAATGGAAAATGCTTTTATCTAAAAACTGGTTTTAAAAAAAGGTTAAACTATAGATGATATAGATTCAGTGTAGTTTTTATAGTCCAGTAGTGTTAGTTGAGTTATTTTAAAACATGACGTCACCTGCCCTGTTGTAGATGACGTACTCGTGCACGAGGCTGGGCCGAGAGAAATAAACATCCAGGCTGGGCCGGGGATCCCCGGGCTCGGAGTGGGCGCAGTCCGACACGACGATCATCTCATTCAGTCGGCTGCCGTCCACGGCGGCGTCGGCCCGACTGGTGATGCCGTGGTAAGGTGAAGAGGCTCGACATCTCGGCACGCTGGGCTAGGGCCAGGTTCCGTCCTGGTGGTGGAGGGGGGGGGGGGGGGAGGGAGTCAGATGTAAGTGTCCGTCCTCTGTGGTACTGAGTGTCTTTGGTGTAAGTTGTGTAGGGAATGGCGTTATACGTTTGCTTTACATTGTTGTCGATGACTAGGCATTATTAATTTGTTGAAAAACATAACCTTGCTAACTTTTTCTAAAAACATTTTGGTCTCCCTCTCAAGTCAGATAAGGTCTGTACCCCCCCCCCCCCTCAACCCCTCAACATCAAACAAAGGTCTAGCCCAGTCGCCTATGGGTCTTTGTACCTCGACCAACTTTTTCTATCAACCATCCTTCCATTTTCCCCCCCCCCCCCCCCCACGGAATCATTAGAAAATAAAGTATATATAAAATATATAGTTTAACAAGTGTTCACCCATTAGCAATATTAAGTGTCACCCCCTCCCCCCAAATGGTTTTAAACTATCCCCCTCCCCTCCCTTACGCCCATAAAAACATGTCTGAAAGAAGCCCATCGACTAAATCTGTTTCAACTACGTTACACCTAGCCTCGACACTTACAAACAAAATTAAAACTAATCACGGGCTAATAATTGTGTTATCCCTTCTACCCCCAGCAAACAAACCTTAACTACAGGTTATCCCCAACATCACACAACCCCTAACCACGGTTAACCTCTACCCCCCCCCCCCACACACACAAAAACCCTAACCACAAACTACCCCCCCCCCCCCCCACACACACAACCCCTGACCTCCACTGACGTTGAGCGTGCACACAGATCTGTTTCCTGTCCAAGACACCTTGATCACGTGAACGAATTCGGCAACGTGCAGGCCAGGTCGAAGGTCACGTCGTCGATGGGGATCACACTCAGCTGAGGGCAGGGGAAGTAGAGCGTGCTAGATGGGCCCTTGACGTCCAGCTTGACGCTGTGGTCACCTTGACCTTTAGAGCCTATATCAATAGAACGACCCTGACCTTTAGAGCCTATATCAATAGAATGATGAAAAATAGATTCGTGTTTTAGGGGAAAAAATCACAGAACAAATACCTTCGTGAAAAGTGGTTACAATAGTTGTTTTAACTGTCACATTTGAGTGGAATATGACTGAAATTTAAGGTTAACTAGCCCTGAGTCTATGATTACAGTGAAGCTTAATCGCTTAATCATCCCATGTGTGACGAAAGACGAAATGTACTTTTACTGTTTACCTTGTAGGCCTACCTTAGGTAAAAAATGACAACTCAACCTTGTTATAGATGACGACTGGCTTGTATAACGTGTCACCATACGCCTTTAAGTACCACTCGATTTCACCAATCACCTTTGTGTCACCACTTACCTTTGTGTTACCACTTGACTTAGTGTCAACGCATATTTTTGTTTCCACTTAATTGCATGTCACCACTCGCATCAGTGTCACCACTCACTTTTGTGTCACCACTCAACTTTGTGTCACCACTCACCTTTGTGTCACCACTCTCCTTTGTGTCACCACTCTCCTTTGTGTCACCACTCTCCTTTGTGTCACCACTCACCTTTCTGTAACAACTCGCCTTTGTGTCACCACTCACCTTTGTGTCACCACTCACCTTTGTGTCACCACTCACCTTTGAGTCACCACTCACCTTTGTGTCACCACTCACCTTTGTGTCACCACTCACCTTTGTGTCACCACTCACCTTTGAGTCACCACTCACCTCCGCGTCACCACTCACCTTTGTGTCACCACTCACCTTTGTGTCACCACTCACCTTTGTGTCACCACTCACCTTTCTGTAACAATTCGCCTTTGTGTCACCACTCACCTTTGTGTCACCACTCACCTTTGTGTCACCACTCTCCTTTGTGTCACCACTCTCCTTTGTGTCACCACTCACCTTTGTGTCACCACTCACCTTTCTGTAACAATTCGCCTTGTGTCACCACTCTCCTTTGTGTCACCACTCACCTTTCTGTAACAATTCGCCTTTGTGTCACCACTCACCTTTGTGTCACCACTCACCCCTGTGTCACCACTCACCTTTGCCTTTCATCACCAGACGTAGCCAGGTAAAGTGTATATCACTGGTGAACTCGGCGGTGACCGAGTCGACAGGAGGGCTGCAGGTTCTGACGTCATTGTCCGTCAAGTTTGCCACAGAGATGGTTGCCATGGTAGCCACATCCCCTGTGGCGAGAGTTTATGTGGACGGTCATATGGGGGACTAGCCACATCCCCTGTGGCGAAAGTATGTGTACGGTCATATGGGGGACTAGCCACATCCCCTGTGGCGAGAGTATGTGACGGTCATATGGGGGGACTAGCCACATCCCCTGTGGCGAGAGTATGTGGACGGTCATATGGGGTAGCCACATCCCCTGTGGCGAGAGTTTATGTGGACGGTCATATGGGGTAGCCACATCCCCTGTGGCGAGAGTATGTGTACGGTCATATGGGGGACTAGCCACATCCCCTGTGGCGAGAGTATGTGGACGGTCATATGGGGGACTAGCCACATCCCCTGTGGCGAGAGTATGTGGACGGTCATATGGAGGACTAGCCACATCCCTTGTGGCGAGAGTATGTGGACGGTCATATGGAGGACTAGCCACATCCCCTGTGGCGAGAGTATGTGGACGGTCATATGGGGGACTAGCCACATCCCCTGTGGCGAGTTAATTTGGACGGTCATATGGGGTAGCCACATCCCCTGTGGCGAGTTAATTTGGGACGGTCATATGGGGTAGCCACATCCAGTGTTTCTTCCAGACTTTTTTCTCCGGGGGGGCACTTGAAATTTTCGGGGGGGGGGGGCGGTAGACTTTCTTCGGGGGGGGCGGACACTGTTAAAAGTATATATTTTCTATATAAATTATATAAATTTCATTTCGTTCGGGGGGGCGGTAAAAAATTTTCGGGGGGGGGGGGGGGGGGGGGCCAAGCCCCCCCCCCCCCCCCCGAAGAGATGCCTGGAAGAAACTCTGGCCACATCCCCTGTGGCGAGAGTATGTGGACGGACATATGGGGGACTAAACACATCCCCTGTGGCGAGAGTATGTGGACGTTCATATGGGGAACTAAACACATCCCCTGTGGCGAAAGTATGTGGACGGTCATATGGGGGTAGCCACATCCCCTGTGGCGAGAGTGTATGTGGACGGTCATATGGGGGACTAGCCACATCCCCTGTGGCGAGAGTTTATGTGGACGGTCATATGGGGTAGCCACATCCCCTGTGGCGAGAGTATGTGGACGTTCATATGGGGGACTAAACACATCCCCTGTGGCGAGAGTTTATGTGGACGGTCATATGGGGTAGCCACATCCCCTGTGGCGAGAGTTAATGTGGACGGTCATATGGGGGGACTAGCCACATCCCCTGTGGCGAGAGTATGTGGACGTTCATATGGGGTAGCCACATCCCCTGTGGCGAGAGTATGTGGACGTTCATATGGGGTAGCCACATCCCCTGTGGCGAGAGTATGTGGACGGACATATGGGGTAGCCACATCCCCTGTGGCGAGAGTATGTGGACGTTCATATGGGGTAGCCACATCCCCTGTGGCGAGAGTATGTGGACGGACATATGGGGGACTAAACACATCCCCTGTGGCGAGAGTATGTGGACGTTCATATGGGGAACTAAACACATCCCCTGTGGCGAAAGTATGTGGACGGTCATATGGGGTAGCCACATCCCCTGTGGCGAGAGTGTATGTGGACGGTCATATGGGGGACTAGCCACATCCCCTGTGGCGAGAGTTTATGTGGACGGTCATATGGGGTAGCCACATCCCCTGTGGCGAGAGTATGTGGACGTTCATATGGGGGACTAAACACATCCCCTGTGGCGAGAGTTTATGTGGACGGTCATATGGGGTAGCCACATCCCCTGTGGCGAGAGTTAATGTGGACGGTCCATATGGGGGACTAGCCACATCCCCTGTGGCGAGAGTATGTGGACGTTCATATGGGGTAGCCACATCCCCTGTGGCGAGAGTATGTGGACGTTCATATGGGGTAGCCACATCCCCTGTGGCGAGAGTATGTGGACGGACATATGGGGTAGCCACATCCCCTGTGGCGAGAGTATGTGGACGTTCATATGGGGTAGCCACATCCCCTGTGGCGAGAGTTAATGTGGACGGTCATATGGGGTAGCCACATCCCCTGTGGCGAGAGTATGTGGGACGTTCATATGGGGTAGCTACATCCCCTGTGGCGAGAGTATGTGGACGTTCATATGGGGTAGCCACATCCCCTGTGGCGAGAGTTAATGTGGACGGTCATATGGGGTAGCCACATCCCCTGTGGCGAGAGTTTATGTGGACGGTCATATGGGGTAGCTACATCCCCAGTGTTTCTTCCAGACTTTTTTCTCCGGGGCAATAGAAATTTTCGGGGGGGGGGGCGGTAAACTTTCTTCGGGAGGGGGGGGGCGGACACTGTTAAAATCATATATTTTCTATTTAAATTATATAAATTTCATTTCGTTCGGGGGGACGGTAAAATTTTTCGGGGGTGGGGGGGGGGGGCTTAGACATAATTAGGCATAGGTCTGAGAGATGTTGCACATATGGGCAGTGGGCACGATCTCTCGCCACTAGTTTATTACTCTGCTCCGTTGTGTTATTTGTGGTAGTAATTACAATTTAGGCAGTGGGCACAACAGATCATAGATTTTTTTTTAAAGTGTAAAAAAAAGGTGAGAGAAAACTTACGGTAGCTGCAGTAGAATCCGAACCAGGAGGTGTGGCATTGTTTGGGGTGAAGGTCACATGTACTCCCGCGGTAGCATTTTGTGACGTCACAGTTGCAGCGAAATTTGCACCTGGGTCCATGCCAGGGTTTTACACAGTCTGTAATTTAGACTTTTGTTATCCATTGTATAATACAGACTTTTGTTTCTACATTTTGCAATACAGACTTTTGTTTATACATTTTGCAATACAGACTTTTGTTTGTACAGTTTGCAATATAGTATAGGCTTTTTAATACAGTGTATAGGGCATAGGCCAAATACAGAATTTTGTTTGCACTTTTGATTACTTTGTAAAACAGACTTCTGTATTATAAAGTGTAAGATTAAGTTATGTTTATGGTTAAGTCTAGAGATACGGCGCAAACAGGGGGAAGAGATTATATCTGAATATGTTATTAATTTTGAATGTAGTTTTGTGTCAATGTTAGGATTAGTTAAGAACTTAAGATAAGCTTAGTTTTCCCAACTAACAAAACCAAAAGTTAAATTATTCTCATTACTAATGTTAAAATCATCGTTACCTTCGCACTGAGATAAAATTATGAAGGAGGAAAAGATAAGTAAGCGGTAATTAGGTATAGCTGAATACATAACTACAATTTTTATTCGCTTTTGTCAGGTGAAATTTTCTTTCGTTTCAATTTTTTTGTTGGTCTTTATTTTCAAACTGCAGCAGTTTAGTTCCGTATGGTGCATTAAAAACACATTTGATGTGAAATACTTCCGCGGTTTATTTACGAAACAAAACTTTTAAATAGTATTGGAGCATAAAAACAAGGATAAAGAACATATACAAATAATTTTTACAACATCATCAACTAAACAAAACAAAAATTACACATTTATTATTATTTATTATTTTATTACATTGCTACATGATCAAATATAATTAAAAAACCAAGCAAATTTTAAAATTTAAATAAAATTACACACAAAAGGGGCATTAATACACGTAATATACAAATAATAAACCATGATATCCGTGAAAGAATAATGATGTTATTTACAGTTACATTAGAAGATAATCTGACATGCAATGTGCGAAATGTTCTATACCAACAAGTTCTTTCAAACTTTCCAGTTTTACACTAGAAATCTCTAAACTAGCATATTGTTAATGATGATTTTTACTTTGTATGTTGTAGGGTGAGTAAGGACTTTTAGGTCGGGTTGGTGGTATGATGGGGGGGGGGGGGGGGGGTTGGTGGTATGATGGGGGGGGGGGGGTTGGTGGTATGGAGAGGGTTTGGTGGTATGGGGAGGGTTTGGTGGTATGGGGAGGGTTTGGTGGTATGGGGAGGGTTTGGTGGTATGGGGAGGGGTTGGTGGTATTGGGAGGGTTTGGTAATATGAGGAGGGTTTGGTAATATGAGGAGGGTTTGGTGGTATGGGGAGGGTTTGGTGGTATGGGGAGGGTTTGGTGGTATGGGGAGGGTTTGGTGGTATGGGGAGGGTTTGGTGGTATGGGGAGGGTTTGGTGGTATGGGGAGGGTTTGGTGGTATGGACGGGGTTTGGTGGTATGGGGAGGGTTTGGTGGTATGGGGAGGGTTTGGTGGTATGGGGAGGGTTTGGTGGTATGGGGAGGGTTTGGTGGTATGGGGAGGGTTTGGTGGTATGGAGAGGGTTTGGTGGTATGGGGAGGGTTTGGTGGTATGGACGGGGTTTGGTGGTATGGGGAGGGTTTGGTGGTATGGGGAGGGTTTGGTGGTATGGGGAGGGTTTGGTGGTATGGGGAGGGTTTGGTGGTATGGGGAGGGTTTGGTGGTATGGACGGGGTTTGGTGGTATGGGGAGGGTTTGGTGGTATGGGGAGGGTTTGGTGGTATGGGGAGGGTTTGGTGGTATGGAGAGGGTTTGGTGGTATGGGGAGGGTTTGGTAGTATGGGGGGTGGGGTTGGTTTAAGGCCAGGACTAACTTACATAGCGAGATTATGTTACGTCATGGAGCGTAAGGCTTGATCCGTTACACCAGACAACAGTATAGATCAACATAATCATTGGAGGATATCATATGACAGCATCACGTGACTATATCACATGACAGCATCACGTGACTATATCACATGACAACACCACGTGACTATATCACATGACAGCATCACGTGATAACATCATTATACAACATCACCGACCTACAACATTTACTAGCAATACTCTACAACATCTCTGTTGAATACATAATTTTAGATGTTATGCTTGTAATATACTAGTTTAAAAAAAACAATAATAATGTTATTAAAAATACATACATAAGGAATACAAATACAGAAAAAATATTTTTGGTAAAGTGCAAACTGTGATTCACTTCTAAACAATCATGTTGATATAAATTATCGTATTATATAATAATGAAATATTTTTTTTAGGTTTTCGGCAATTTGAAACGAAAGGGAAGTAACCTAAAAAAATACTACATATCTAAAGATGTGAGTTGTTATCGTTCTTGACGTTCCTTGATTTCACGCCAGAGGTCGTATTTTCATCTCGACCCAGCTGATGTAACTGTCCATGCCGGTGGTGGGGTCCCAGTTGACCCCGTTCCCGTAGAGTGTGCTGTTCCAGGTCCCAGTTAACTGCCCCATAGAGCAGGAACGGTACCACCAGGCGCCGCGGTAGAACTCGGCACAGTTGATACTGGCACTGTCGCAGTCGCGGTCGTAGGTCGTGAACATCTGGTTGTCGGCGTCTTCGATCAAGATGTCGCCGGCGTTCCCCGTGTAGTTGCTCAGCTGAAGCGTGTAATTCGTCGCCTCGCCCAGCAGTTTGAAATTTCCGTACGTCGCGTTGTAATCGACTCCGTTGTAGGTGAAATCGATTCTCATCTCGTGTTTCTCGTTGATTGAAATACAGCTGATGAACTCGTTCCCCAGGTAAAATTCGCCGATTCCGTAATCGCCGAAACCCCGTTTGTAATCGTTCCACCCGCGGTAGAAATCCACTGTCCCGCTGACGCGCCGGAGGATGACCGTCCACCCCCCGCCGTCCGTGCCCGTGTCACACATGACCTTGAGACCAGAGGCCAGCTTGACCACAGGTCTGGAACTGGTGCTGACCACGTCACGGCAGGTGAAGTAGATGTCGATGTTATTAGGGTCGTAGGTTGGGTTGTTGCCGACTGTAACGTTAAACCCTGGTAAGAAAAACAGAAAATTTTACGACTAAATTAAAATTTATCGATACGGGTATTCGGAAATATTGACAGAGTATCGATACCTGTTCGGTGTTTAAAATAAAAACACGATACCTAGATTGACAGCTGGAGTGCAAGGTTGTGTACACGCCACTCCGTTTGAGTACACGCGTTTTTCCCCAACAGCAGGAGTTGTTGCCCTTGTCACACAAGCCCCTAGGGTTAAAGGAAAAAGATAATGGCAACTGTGGGTGAGGAAAACGATGACAGCAACTGTGAGTGAGGAAAACGATGACAGCATCTGTGAGTGAGGAAAACGATGACAGCAACTGTGAGTGAGGAAAACGATGACAGCAACTGTGAGTGAGGAAAACGATGACAGCAACTGTGAGTGAGGAAAACGATGACAGCAACTGTGAGTGAGGAAAACGATGACAGCAACTGTGAGTGAGGAAAACGATGACAGCAACTGTGAGTGAGGAAAACGATGACAGCAACTGTGAGTGAGGAAAACGATGACAGCAACTGTGAGTGAGGAAAACGATGACAGCAACTGTGAGTGAGGAAAACGATGACAGCTACTGTGAGTGAGGAAAACGATGACAGCAACTGTGAGTGAGGAAAACGATGACAGCAACTGTGAGTGAGGAAAACGATGACAGCAACTGTGAGTGAGGAAAACGATGACAGCAACTGTGAGTGAGGAAAACGATGACAGCAACTGTGAGTGAGGAAAAAGATAATGACAACTGTGAGTGAGAAAAAAGATAATGACAACTGTGAGTGATAATTGTAAAAGATAATGAACAACAGAAGTTCGTTTAGCTGCCCAGGCGTTTGGTTGTTGTCCTGCATATAATGTTCAAGGTCATCCCAGTGTCAAATGTGTGTGGTCAACTTGTCAGTGTATTTAGAACCGGAAAAACTTGACACGGGGGAGAATACGTAAATACTTGAATTATGGCACTTTATATGATAAAAGGGACAAAAGTAAACAGATTTTTTTTAAAAACTTAATGCTGGGGACATTACTTCCCTTAATTAAAACACTCAGATTCAGGGGACGTAACACAACTGCCTTTGATACAGGTAGATCCCACACCTACATTTGAAAAAGTATACAGGGGTCAAAACTCCGGTAATTTGATACATTTTGTGAAGGGGACAGGGTAAGTTACACGGCTAGTTTAGATATAAGGGAGATAACGCATCTATATTAGAAAACGCTAGGTTTAATAAAGAGAGACATCGTTCACGACAACGATTACATGGGACATAACTATAATGATTTGGTACAGCTTAACGTTGGGGACACAACTCACACAGCTTAACCCAAGGGACACTACTCACACAGCTATATCCAGGGGACACTACTCACCAAGCTGGCACGTCTTGGTCGAGGGACTGTACGAGTAGCTGCCGCACGTGCCGTTGGTCGAGCAGAAGTTGCTGCAGGCCAGTGTACTCACTGCGACCTTCTCCGCCAGCACTGACGTCATGGTGACCTTGGCCGTGTTCATAGACTTGTAGGCGGTGGTTTTAATGGATGACCTTTGACCCATGACTAAACCTTGAAAATAGTAAGAAAGGCATTTGATCAGATAAACCAGAAAAACATTGTTGTCGGATTCCCGCCCCCCCCCCCCCCCACTCACCTACAGTCCTAATTACTAATTTTAAGATTAAATACAGAAAAACAGACTATCAGAAAAACATACACAGACAGACAGAAGGATGAATGAGGTGATAGACACACAGAAAGGGACAGAAACGAGCATAGCCTCAAAGTAAGACAAAACACACAGATACATAGACAGACATAGACGGTTCGCAGAAAGATGCGAAATCGGAAAACTGCGCGATGTAAAAATGCGCAAAAAGAAAAAAGCGCAAATATAAACTAATTATACTAAAACACTTTAATTTGTCATATTTCGTGGAGATATGTTTTTTTATGCTACATCGTAGATTTAGTCTCTATTTGTTAATGTCTATAAATGCAGATTCAAGAAAACAAAAATGCCATTGCGCAAATTTTTGTGCGCAGTTTTCCGTTGCTCATTTTTCCGGTCACCCGCAAGACATACATAGATATAAATACAGACAGTAAGGGGAAGAACTTACCAAACATCTGCACCCAACAAAACTTGAAAAATATCCTTGCTGTTAACATTGTCGTTCTTATAGCTCAATGTCCTACTATGTCCTAGTACAGATAGGTAGAGGTCCTAAATGGGACAGGTAGGTGTCATAGTTGATGTCCTAATCCTGGCAGTTAAAAGATCTGTTACCTACAGATAGTGGTTCTTTCTTTGTCCGACACGTTTAAGTATAACCCCTAATAAGTCTCTGTTTCAGATTATATTTTACACTGTTGATCACTGTCCTGTTCTACTTCTTTCAGGTACCTATTATGTCCACAGCTGATGTCAATATCCCGTCCTACGATCTCTACAAATTCGATGTAGTTGTGTCACAATAAGATGAAGTCATTCGCCTCGGAGGTCAAAAGCAAAAAACATCCAATACCTGAACCCTAGTTACGACCGTAGCTGATCAACTTGTGGTAAAAAAACGTCGGTCTAGTTACTACTGTAGCTGATCTTGTGGTAAAAACACATCGGTCTAGTTACGACCGTAACTGATCTAGTGGTAAAAACACGTCGGTCTAGTCACGACTGTAGCTGATCTTGTAGTAAAAACACGTCGGTCTAGTTACGACCGTAGCTGATCTTGTGGTAAAAACACATCGTTCTAGTTACGACCGTAGCTGATCTTGTGGTAAAAACACGTCGGTCTATTTACGACCGTAGCTTATCTTGTGGTAAAAACACGTAGGTCTAGTTACGACCGTAGCTGATCAACTTGTGGTAAAAACACGTCGGTCTAGTTACGACAGTTGCTGATCAACTTGTGGTGAAACACGTCGGTCTAGTTTCAACATTAGCTGATCAGCGTATGGTAAAAACACGTCGGTCTAGTTACGACCGTAGCTGATCTTGTGGTAAAAACACGTTGGTCTAGTTATGACTGTAGCTGATCTTGTGGTGAAAACACGTCGGTCTATTTACGACCGTAGCTGATGAACTTGTGTTAAAAACACGTCGGTCTAGTTACGACCGTAGCTGATCAACTTGTGGTGAAAACACGGTCAAGTTACGACCGTAGCTGATCAACTTGTGGTGAAAACACGGTCAAGTTACGACCGTAGCTGATCAACTTGTGGTAAAAACACGGTCTAGTTATGACCGTAGCTGATCAGCGTATGGTAAAAACACGTCGGTTTAAACCAATTAGAGATCTTGCACTAATCTCTCATCTCCAGCCACGAGTTGAATTATTCAAGACGAGACACTCCAGCGCTAGCGCAAGTACTTGAAGCGGAGGTAAAAATGTTTGAATCCTCGATAGGGGACCGCACTCTAGAGGCTGGAATAAATGTTTACTAATGTTTGTTTACCGCTCTAAAAATAGAAGCCTTGATATGACATTAGTCTAGTTCAGATGACCTGTATTAAAGGGTGCCGTGATGGTCTAGGAATGGACCCTATTATGTTTGTAGAGAAGCTAAATATTAACGTGTCAATTTACGCAGCACTAAGGTAATTAAGTTAATAGTTGTGGAAATTAGAAACAAGCAGATTTGCGAGTTTACAAGCATGACGTAGCCTACACAAAAACTCACTAAACTTTAACATTCAGTTACGTCCCTTGAACTGCGACAGACTGGCAAAAGTAAACCAACTTTACAAAACGCTATCACAACTAGTGAGGTGTAAAACGCGGTACGAAATATATTGTAAGAAAACGTGTGCCTAGATCATGATCTCAATTAACACGTATAAACTACAACCACATTTTTTTTTTAAGTAAAAGTAATACTAGTTTAGAAAAACTTTTTTTTTCATTTTTATAGAATTTAAATAACCTGCAATTGTAAGGTTATTCTTGTTAAATGTATGTTAAATATCTAAAAAAAAAAACTTCGTAAAATTGAAGAGTTTCAAGTGCTGAAGCCACACTTTTGTGAAAATTAAAACCAAGCGAATGTCGATTTTTCTGTAGTTTTTACTTTATCTTATGCACAAATATCAATGCTGAACTTACATTTATTTCATCTCTTCAAAACAATGATATATATAAAAAGACTATGTTTTAGCACCAGTTTGAATGTATGAACACAAAATATTTGTTATCATTTGAGAACATTTAGCACTATGTCTATTAACTAGGTTGTCAAACTTGGCCGGCTAATGTTCAATGAGCATAATTTACACTGTATTTCTTACATAGGCCGGCCGCTTCGCGAACTGGCCGGGATACCCTGGCCAATATCCGAGGTAAAATTATGTGTAATGAAGTTTTAATTATTTAGGCAGTGTATACATCTTAAAAAACAACAATAACAATTATTGATCGCTAACGTATACCAAAGCCAATTATAAAGTATTAAACAGTTTTAGAGAATTAGTAAATGAAACTTGTCTCACTCCGACAGAAAGCTGGTTGTTGTTCCCGTCAGTTCTTACGTCTGTGAGAGAGGTTTGGCTATCATAAAGATCTGGGTACGGACCGGATGGTGAGTGGCTAGAAAGACACTCACTAATCTTGCGTGGCTTTAAGTAGACGATTAGTTTTAAAGGCACATACACGCGGTATGAATAGGTATTGTGCCGGTTTGAAGAAACACATTGATGTAAACTGATAATACAAATAAACACACATAAACATTTAAGTACAATACAAGTACACATATACACAAATATAAACACACCAGCGCTTAGCTTCACGAACAGAAATACACACACGTACAAACACACGCATAAACAATAAACACACGTACAAACACACGCACATAGACACCTAAAAACATACGTACAAACACCCGTACACACATATTTACAAGCACGCATACAAACACACGAACATATATAAAAACACACGTACAAATACACGTTCAAACACATGCACAACCAAACCTACAAAAACTCACAAACGTACTTACAATCATACTAACAATCAAGCACACGCCTAATACCACCATTAGCACACGAACTGTTCACATATCCTATTACACAACTACACTCAAATACAAATGGACAAATATAAATAGGCAAAGGTTCGTTAATTTTTTTATAGACCTACAGAATTTCCACTGTTTTTTTCCAAACGATCAGCTAAATCCACACACACACACACACACAACCATACACATACACACACATACATACACACACGCATACACACGTATACTTGTCTATAATTTCCAGAGAGCAACAAACTCTAAATGATGAGTTATGACACTTTTATTTAGCCTTTCTGAAACTTTGGACACCAACAGATAATTTACTTTAACTTACAATCATGACACGTAATTAAAATATGCGAAGACATCTTGATCTAAATTGATGAGCCATTGACTGCTAAAACACGGGTAGATTTTTGTTAGCCCTGTTTATTCTCAAATCAAGATGGCCTCTGTCAGATACATAACTTCCTTAAAGGTAGATAACATTGAACAGCTACTAAGATGACGCTGACTGACAGCTACTTGACATTTAACAGCTACTAAGGGGACGATAGCTAACAGCTACGTGACATTTAACAGCTACTAAGAGGACGATAGCTAACAGCTACGTGACATTTAACAGCTACTAAGAGGACGATAGCTAACAGCTACGTGACATTTAACAGCTACTTAGATGACTCCTCACAATGGACATTTGACCAGCTCCTTAGATGACTGCTGGCATCTAGAGAGGTAACTTTGAACATGGATCCTTAAACCCACCGTAAGCTGCAGTCAAAGTTTCGGGCAGGTCAAACCTAAGACAAGCAAATCGTTTTTTTTTTGTATTTAACTGTGTAAGCAGCAAAAAAGATAAGACTACACCACTTCCACATTACCGTCTCCTATATAATCCTTCATCTCGTACCCTCCTCTTACCCCCTCCCTTCTCCAGTCAACTCCTCCACTCTCTTCCTCCCCTTCCCTCTTCCCCCGGTCCAATATCCTGTCCCACTTCCCCTACCCCTCCCCCTCGCCCGTGGTTCAATATTCTCTCCCCCCCCTCTCTCCTATCCCCCTAGTCTATCCTGTCCGGCCCCACCCCCACCCCCACCCCAATCCTCTCCCGCTGGTCCAAATGGCATGTCCCCCCTACCCCCAGGTCCAATATACTCCCTCCCCTATCCTCCCCACTTCCCTTATCCCCCAGGCTAAATATACTCCCTCCCCCTTCCCTATCCTCCCCCATTTCCCCTACCCCCCCCCCCCGGTCCAATATCCTCACCCACCTACCCTTCCCTCTCCCACCTCCCCTATCCTGTACTTAGATTACCACATATCAGCCCAATCAATATTTGTTAATTAGACAATACACCGTGTAAACAAAACTGATCAACAACAAAAAGATTGGCCTGTCAGACAGTATTGTTCACATATCGATTACAACATTCCTCGCTGGTCGGTCTACCTTAGTACATTTTTTGTATGCGTGAACAGCAGCTGAAGTGTGTACAGTGGCGTAGCCGGGAATTGGTCATGGGAGGGGTTCAAATATTTTTCAATATGTATAAAGTCATATATATATATATATATATATATATATATATATATATATATATATATATATATATATATATATATATATATATATATATATATATATATATATATATATATATATATATATATATATATATATATATATATATATATATATATAGGGTGTAGTCCATTGGAGGGGTTATAACCCCCCTAACCCCCCCCCCCCCCCTTGCCTACGCTACTGAGGCCGTCGCTGCAGGAAACTAGGACAAAACTAATATTTCCTTAATGTGATCGCTTGGTACGGTGTGGTTTATGTGGTTGAGCGCAAGGCTGCTAACCCGACAGTGTCGAGT